AAAATAGAAAATTAACCTGTAATTTAACCTTTTTAGTAACATATCCATAAAAGGTCGGCGGGGTTACCCCAGGGGGTCTATACCTAGTTTTACTGCTGCACTGTCAAAACTTATTATTTACGCTAAAGAAAATGTACTGCTGCAAGGAACGAATATATGATATATTTAAAAATATGTATAACTAATTTAAGAAAAGTTTTATGAAGTGTACGTATTTACAGTATCAATAAATTCAAATTATCATGAACATGTATTTGCTAAAGACGGGTTTAACACTGATGCAAAAATTGACTTTAGCCTTTTTAACTTTATATATAATTTAGAGATTCATTAGTTCAACTAGAAAGGTTGAAGATTTAATTTAGTTTGTAAGTTTTAGTTTCAATCTAGTTGCAATTTCAATTAGATTTGTACAAACATGATGTGTATCTAATTCCAGGGTGATTAGAGAACTCTTGGTTTAATAGTTGTCTTGCATGCAACATGCAAATACACACCCAATTCATTCATCTATATATGCTTACTTTAGCTTTTTGTACATTAAACGTATTTATATTTTGTTTATCCCTTGTCTTATCTGTAATTGGAGATGTAAGGAAACTTTCTTACCATTTTCTTATCATTATATAATCGATTCATTGATACCTCCTAAATGATTTATGTTTAATTTGATGTCAGCAATTTTTCTCTTTCAATCCCCCCCCCCACAATTACATTGATTTTCTTTTATCTTTACATATATAATTCAACAATAAACATAAGATTCTCCATCCTAAAGCCAATCGATAATGAAAGATTTTTTCTTCACCACATTCATTCCAATATACCATCAAATCTGCATCCTTCTTTCTTTATCAATGTTGAAGTTCATACCAAGTACAAATTCGTTCATAAATAAATCTTTGACTCGCTATAAATCGTAAAGTCAATAGCTATTTCTCATTTCTACGTCTACATATGCCAACCATTAGTATTATATCATTATATGTAATTGAAAACTCCAACTCCACCTATTCAATATTTCCCGGCGTATACAAATTTCTCTCCTCAGAGAAAGTGCCCATTTCTCTATCTATCTACCTATCTATCCTAGATCTATCTATCGGCGCGCTTCTAACTATCTATCTATCTTGAAAGGCATGTTTGCTTGTTTGGTTTGGTCTTAACAACGTATTTGGGCACTGACTTCAGATTTATAGGACAGATAGAAAGAAGGATAAAGTATCTACATTTCCGTAGATGACTGATTGATTCAACAATGTTTTATGCATTATTCTCGAACCCCAATTGAACTTATCGAAATCCTTCAAATTTTCAAGATTTTTAAATGAAAATTAAGATATTAATTTATATAATTACTTCACTAGAAAATTATAATTGATTAATTTTCCGCTAGTAGATGAATTATGAAATTTATTATTTATGTAAAATGCTGCAATTAACTATAATTATTAATTAATTAATAATGCCTCCAGGATCTTCCAGGTTTGAACAATTTGGCTATATTGAGTATTCACGATAACATGTTGCACTAAGTGTATCTTCAAAAAGTGGAGAAAGTTACATGAAGATCTGTTGTACATATTGTAGTCGGTCTTGTATGGGGATTGTAAATTGTAAATACAAGATATAATTTCAGAAAAAATTAAAAATCTCACTTTTGATGTTTTGTTTAATATGGAAATGAAATAAAAACTGTTTGCATGAAAAAATAATTTAAAGGAATGTTGCACCAAAGCGCATAAGCTTTTTAACGTGAAAAACATAAAAAGATAATAATTAGTCTTCTCAATTCATTTTGATTTGGTCAGACTCAGAGCAGCCTGCAGTACTGATAAAATTAATTCTGAAAAAAGGTATAACATTTTTTAAAAAGGTTGAGAAGTTATAAGAGCTCCGAAATGATAAGGATTACCAATATTATACGCATATTTCCTGTCTACAAAAATTCAAATTTACATTCAGCAAAAAAAGGCAATTTTAATCAAGTTTTATGTGTGCTTTATAGCTTGACTCGGGAAAGAGGTTAGGAGGGGGGATTGGCTGTGAATAGAAATGGTTTGGGAGAAAAGAGATTTACGTGCTTTATTCAAGAAGTTCGTTTATAGGATTATCAAAAATGTGTAATATACATGTTAATAGAAAATTTGGTAACTGAAAGAAGCGAAGTTGATAGTAGTAGTATGATGTATAGATTATGGGGTAAGAGTAGTGTGTATATGAAACAATTGAGTAAAAAAGGAATGTGACGTGAAAGAGATTAATTTAGTGGCAGATAAAGGGGTGGGGGGNCAGCAATATTTAGATTGACAATAAAGTTTACAGCAATATTTAGATTGACAATACAGTTTACAGCAATATTTAGATTGAAAATACAGTTTACAGCAATAAAAAATCTTTGTTAGACAGGTATGCTCGGATTGTTACTCAGATAGGCAATTAGGCAGTTGAACAAAGGAAATGAGTTTTTGCAACAAAATCCTATTTTCTAATTTTTATATCTTCTCAATCAAATGTCGTTGACCATAGATAATTTAAACTATGCATTCTGTTAGATGAAATAGTCAAAGTTTGAAATATCAAAGGATTACGCTATTAGGTTGAAAAGATTTAGAGGTTTAAAAATTTGTGTTTGTGGAAAAGACTCAATTCCTTTATTTACACACACATAACACAACAGATTGAAGAGGATAAAATGAGAATCGCGATTACATAGTTTAAAAATTTGTTATTGTTGAAAATTCCTTCCCTTTACTAAACGCTGCCTGGTGCCCAGGTTTGAATCCTTCTATTGTAACTGTTGATCCCTAATTTTTATCCAACAAAAATCCATCAGTTAAGAACAGCAAAATTCATTCATGGTTTCTCTAACTGACAAATAGGCGTCCACCCTTACTATTCATGTTTTTCATATTGCTGTGTTAGCAGGCATCAAATCTGCTAGAAGTGAGCATTAATAACAACATTTTCATTTGTCTGAAACATATCCAGTTCAGGCTCCGGTCACTCTTATGCTCAATGACCCTTTGTAGAAATAGGAAATATTTATCTTTATTATGTATGCAGAAAGGACTTTTTATTCACATATATGTTCTTGGGCCCTTATTCAAGTTTTTTTTTAAAGAGAATTATTGTCATTATTTAAGTTTTTTCACTTTCTGTTGTTTTGACATTACAAAAGTTGAGTATGAATTGATACATCTAACAAACATATTAAAAAAAAAATTTTACATTTTGATTTTTTCCATTTCTTAGTAATACTGCCCTAAAGCCAATTTTGACCGTTTGAAGGTGTGTATACAAGGTTTGTGCACACTGTACAGGTCTGTCACACCCCAGGAAGGCAATAACAAGCTAGGCACTTATAGTAAATACTTACCATTCCCATTTCAAAATGCAAATCACTTTTAGCATTTTAAACAGAACCAACAAAATAGAAAATTAACCTGCATGGCCACAGAATTTGATGTTGGCGTATTTTAGATTTCTTACTTATAACTTATAGATAATTGCATATCATGGAAACAAATTCAAATTATCAAAATTGTACTTTGTTTTTAAGTAATCAGATATTTACAGTATACACAAAAAGTGAAAATACCATGGGCAGAGCTATATTCAGAGGGACACGTAGATTATTTGAACGAAAGTTTGAACTGTTTCTTATGTTTGCTGGATGTATTTAAACATCTTGGATCTACAATTCCTCAAAGGATTTCGAAACCCTTTTATGTTAGTGTGTACTGGTTACTCTTTATATATGTTGGGTTTTTTGAAAGGATTGAAATGGTATTTGTTGTCAATGAAAAAATAACTGACAGTGTAGAAAAAGGGGCAGCATGTGTTTTGATTAAAACATGAATATTTTAAGCTTTTTTAATGAAAACTGAACCCAATCTACAAAGGAAGGGAATCAAATCACCGCGTTCTTCCGTTCCGAAGACAAATTGCAGTGTTTTTAATCTCTATGTTTATTTTCTCCGTTCACGGGATAATTCTGGTAAGGTTAGAGAAGTATATGATATTATCTCTATTCAGAAATAGCGAGTATAAAAACCAGCTTTAAAAAGTACATAGACAGCCCCCCCCCCCCCTTCTTACAATATATCAGATTTAGAGGTGGTTTATCTTAATTTGACCTCGGACCTGCGCCGTTGAGTGCTTACTGTACAACGACATCATAGAGTCAGAGGGGAAAAGTTAAGATAGTTTAAAAAAGATAGGTCGGATTTTTCTCATGCATATAAACTTTTAATTGCCTCGATAGCCTATACATTGTTCATGAACCTATATCTAAGTATATAACTAGCTAAAACTATAAAGTTAAGATTGTAGTGTATAGATATAGATGACTGGAGGGTAATTCTCTAATTTATTACAGATAAGTTGCTTCTGAAACTACTTACGTATACCACATTAGTATAGTAAAGTTCAATCTCAAGTAAAGATAAGATTTTTCATGATTTTTAAAATGGAATATTTTGTTTTATATAAACGATTACTCGATGTCAGCGGGTTCTCCAAGAACAATCAAAACTTTGGATTCAGATCTCCAATTGTATTTTACAATATTAGGTTTCTAAGGAATCAATAAGATAGTGTTTTGGTTTATAGAAATTAAAACTATAGTAAAATTTAATATGTGGAATTCATCATATTCTTATAGATCAAAAATATAATTTTGGAAAGGTAATTGCGGAATATATATGCCCGGATTATTTAAAAATAATTCTTATTTAAACTAGTTCAAAAAACTTTGATTTAAAGCAACAAAATGTAGATCCATTCGTTCTCAAAAAAAAATTTCATGGATTTTCAAAAAAGTAACATCTTTTTCCTCTTAGCGTAAAATTTCTAAGAGGGGGGCCGGGGGGAAATTTGCCAAATTAAAAAAATTTTCCCCTCTACAAAATTCTTTTTAACGCCCCTGAAACTCACCCTTGATATGAAGTAAAACAATCGAAGCCAATAAAAGAGTTTTAACTAATTTTGACATCTTCACTGATTAGAGTTCTTGCACAGGGTTTCCTCAGAAATCCGACACATCTAAAAAAATTAAGTGCATTATTTCAAAATATTAAAGTTTAACTTAATGATGTAAAACCCCCCTCCCCATCATTTCAGCGGCCATCCTTTTGTTAATCAAATTAGTTAGCATAGCTCACGNACTCTGGTCCATACTCACATTCCAAAAACTTTCTAAATTGAAGATTTAAAAGTTACTCGGTTTCCACGCTCCATGTTCCGTAATAACCTCTGCCTAAGCCATTGTTTCACTTTTAATACTTGTTTGAACTTTAGCAATTTAGAGAACTAAGATATATTTTATATCACTGTTTTGTTTTTCTGTTTTGACGAGTGTAGAGGCGTGCCTGCTTCAATGCTTATGGTTGTAAGGTGTGACACCTACTGACCGCCTATATAAGATTCCCCAAGTTTACCCCACACACACACACATTCAGTCCCCATCCCATACCTTCTAACCATCATCATATTAAATTTTCACAAATTTCAATAAAACCAATTATCAATTTTAGTCAATGCTCAGCCAAAAGTCTATGGTAATTTTGTTGTAGAAATAATAAAGTAGCAAAGACACAACCCTGGTTTTGGTTTCTGCCGGAGCGGCGAGCACTGGGCGAGAAACCGGTATCTCGGTTAAACAGAACCCAGGAGTAAAGGTACAGACCTCAAATTCCCCCAAATGGTTGGATTGCGCCTTGAAATACCCGGCTCTAGGCTCGGGAAACTAGGAAACTCAAGAAGATGAAAGATATAAGTAGAATCAGAATGAAACCATGCAGGTGCGGGCAACTAGAGAGGCAAGGCGCCTTTTTGTCATGACTTCACCCTGCCCTATTGTATCTTTAGAGTACTAACGATTAAAATATTGTAAATATTTAGAAAATTGTATATTTTATAGAGAAACTTCTTTTAATTACCTCCTTTCTTATAATTAAACATGCGAAGCTGACTGGTGTTCATTACGAAGAAGATTTTCCATTACCAATTTTTTGCCGGTTTCATAATTGTCACAATTTGTGTGCAGACCAACGAAGCTAAATAATAACCTGTGGGCTTGATGATAATAAGTAGATAGTAGACACTCACAATTTAAAAATATTAATTAAAAATGTTATAGGTTGTGTGATCATATGACGTATGGAAGTAATTTTGAGCTTGAGTAAACTTTTCCTGTATTTTAATCCACAGCACGTTGTTTTTGTTAAAAAAAGGTTTTAAGGTTTTCATAATTTATGTTTATTCATAAAACAAGGAATGGAGGACTCAAAGAAATTCGATTCTACTGGAGACCACTGGAGAGATTTCATTTTCACTGGAGGGGTTTGAAAAGTCACTTTTTTCACTTTGAAACTTTACACATGGTGATTTACAATCCACTAGAGGGATTCAGATATCTATCCAGGGGGTTTATAATTCCACTGGAGGGATTCAGATTTCCTTTTTAGGGGTTTATAATTCCACTGAAAAAAAATCAGATATCCTTCCTAGGGGTTTAAAATTCCAACTGGAGGAATTCAGAAATCCTTCCTAGGGGTTTATAATTCCACTGAAGGGATTCAGATATCCTTCCAAGGGGTTTATAATTCCACTGGAGGGATTCAGATATCTTTCCTAGGGGTTTATAATTCCACTGGAGGGATTCAGAAATTCTTCTGATGGTTTATAATTCCACGGGAGGGATTCAGATATCTTTCCAGGGGTTTATAATTCCACTGGAGGGATTCAGATATCTTTCCTAGGGGTTTATAATTCCACTGGAGGGATTCAGAAATTCTTCTGATGGTTTATAATTCCACGGGAGGGATTCAGATATCTTTCAAGGAGTTTATAATTCCACTGGAGGGATTCAGATATCTATCTAAGGGGTTTACAATTCCACTGGAGGAATTCAGATATCTAGGTGTTTATAATTCCACTGGAGGGATTCAGAAATCTTTCTTTATGGTTTATATAATTCCACTGGAGGGTTTCAGATATCCAATTCCTAGGGGTTTATAATCCCACTAGAGGGATTCAGATATCTTTCCAGGAGTTTATAATTCCACTGGACGGATTCAGATATCTATCTAAGGGGTTTAAAATTCCACTGGAGGGATTCAGATATCTTTTCAGGGGGGTTATAATTCCACTGGAATTAAAACCCCCAGAAAGTATTTCTGAATCCCTCCAATGGAATCATAAACCCCTAGGAAGAATATCTGAATCTCTCCAGTGGAATTATAAACCCCATGGAAGAATATCTAAATCCCTCCAGTGGAATTTTAAACCCCTGAAAAAATTATCTGAATACCTCCAGTGGAATTATAAACCCCTAGAATGGACATCTGAATCACTCCAGTGGAATTATAAACTCCTAGAAAGGACATCTGAATGACTCCAATGGAATTATAAACCCCTAGGAAGGATATCTGAATCCCTCTAGTGGAATTTTAAAACTCCCTGGAAAGATATATGAATCCCTCCAGTGGAATTATAAACCCCCTGGAAAGATATCTGAATCCTTTCAGTGGAAAGTTTTAAATTGTAAAAAAGCATTTTTTCAAACCCCTCCAGTGAAAATGAAACCCTCCGGTGGTCTCCAGTGGAATCAAAATCTTACTACGAACTTCTGTGACTCGGAATGGAGAGAGGTTGAAGGGAGTGAGGGGGCACGCATATTCAACGAGTGTTGAATGAGGGTGGGAAGGCGACCCGTCCTAAAACGGGATATGCGGCATGTGCTTACCCCTATGCCGTCCGAAACTCATCGGTTTTGCCTTTCGGAAAAATTTCTTAATTTGTAATTATAGACGAATGCAGCATTAATTTTAGATTTATAAATATGTCATGGCATCTATCATGTTTATCATATTTTTTCTTGTGACAGTAGAGGATGTCTTGGCTGAATGAAACAATAGTTGTGAAAACCCATAGTAAAAAGTGCGTTTTTTTATAATTTACTATTTATCTAATATATGAATTAAAGTTACATGGCTGTAGACAATTTTCTCATAAAAAGTGCTGAAACCTTTAGAAAAAATAATTTTTCAAAAAATTATCAGAGTTTTGTGTAATTCAGTTAAAGCACATTAACCCTCACCCATTTTACCTCCGAGTTAAATGTCCTTAGTTGAACATTCAAAGTCTTTCACCAAAATTTGAAGAATTAAAAATATTTCTTGATAGAATTGAAAAATCAGGAGGAAATGTATCAGTTTTAGCTATCAACAATGTTTTGAGACATCTTTTCTCTCACAAAGCGCCACATAGTACAGATTTAGGTATCGTGAAAAATCTTTAAATAATACTGTCTCTTCCTTATAAACTACTATCACTCTATTTACAATATTTCAATTAAAATGAGATCAATTACACCAAACATTAAAAAAAGATTTCATATTATCAAAGAATATCAAAAACTCAAATCATAAAAACACTATTTAAATTGGACTGCTCCTTCTCACAATTTCCCTAAAATACGGTATGAAAATAGAGGACACTTCTCAAGGCTTTCAAATATCAATCTTATTTCGAATTTTAGAAGATTTTTATCAGCAGAACAAATATTTATTCTAACACATATGTTTGCAAAAGAATCAAAGAAAGCCAAGACGATTTTACAAAGAAAGGGCTAAAAAGATTACAAAAAGTAAAAGAAAAATTGGCGCAAATTAACAAAAGATGCCTAAAAATGCCCGTTTTGCTTAGAACCATAACCCGTTCACAACCCTTAAAGCATATTATATTTTTTCAACATTACAAATGAATTTATAATTTTTATTTCTAAAATTGTTTATGTTTATGTTTATGTGGTATTGATTCTCAGGACTCCTATTGGAGTATAATGAGAATTTCTTGATTTAACTGTAAATGATTTTAGTTCACTATAGTACTGGCCATCCTTGTTCATATCATTCACATTTTCACATGTTCATCGTACATTCTTTTGAAATTGTCTACATTCTTGGCATTCTGAATAGTTGCAGGTAAATTGTTCCATGGTTGGACAACTCGATTGCTGAAAAATTTCCTTCGAATTTCACCTTTGCACTGTTTTATTTGTAGATTCATATAGTTGTCAGATTGACGAGTGGTTCTTAGGCTGATGTCTTGGACCCTGGTAAACCATATATCTGGATTAACAGCTATCTTGTGGTTCAGAGTTTTGTATGTATGTATCATGTCAAACCTTAACCTCCTAGCTTCCAAGGTTTAGATACCAACTTCCTTTATTTTGTCCTCATATGAAACACTTTGCAGGTTTGAGATCATATTTATGGCTCGCTTTTGTACATTTTCTAGGACTCGGATGTCCTCAAGTGTCCAGGGACACCAAGCTGATACAGCAAATTCTAAGTGAGGTCGGACATAAGACTTGTACGAGTTGAGAAATGTGATTTTATCTCTGAAGTGGAATGCCCTTGATATTTGTCCAAGAACAAAATTAGCCTTTTTTGCAGCAGATAAACACTGGGTTGACGGCTTGAGTGATTCGTGGGTTATAACACCAATGTCTTTTTCCTGGCTAACATTTGTCACCATTGAACCATTCATGTAATAGGTGTAATTATTATTATTTCTGCCAACATGTAGAACCTTACATTTGGGAATATTAAATTCCATACCCCAGTTCTGAGACCATTTGACCAGATTATCAAGGCAGGTTTGGAGTATTTGTCTGTCCTGATCAGTGTTAACTATCTGGGCTACTTTTGTGTCGTCTGCAAATTTGCATATTATGTCAATCAGCGGTTTGACCACATCATCTATATCATTAATAAATATGAGGAACAGAATTGGTCCTAGTATGCTACCCTGGGGTACACCTGACAGAACTAGGGCCCACAGTGAGGCCCATCCGTTTATAACCACTCTCTGGCGCCTATCTGAAAGCCAATTTTTCAACCAATTCAGTACATTTCCAGAAATACCCAATGTTTCAGCTTTCTTCAACAATTTATTTTTAGGTACTTTATCAAAGGCTTTAGAGAAATCAAGATAGATTATGTCCAGAGCATTGCCATCATCATATTTGGATGTGAGAAATTCCATAAATTCCAACAAGTTGGTTAAGCAAGATTTATTCTTAAGAAAACCATGTTGGCTATTGAATAACAACTCCTGTGATGTTAAATGTTCAACAAGCTTGTCACGAATGATGGATTCCATTATTTTTCCACAAATACTGGTCAGGGACACAGGTCTGTAATTGGATGCAATTGATTTATCACCTTTTTTAAATATTGGGGTGACATTAGCCTCCCGCCAGCTTAAAGGAACTATTCCAGATTCAATTGATTTGTTGAAGATAATTTCCAATGGTTTACATATCAGGTGGCTCATTACTTGAATTTGTTTAACAGTTATTTCATCATTTCCAGGAGCTGAAGTAGGTTTTAATTTTATAATTTTTTCCACGATATCCTCCTTTGTAAATATAAGTGAGTTTAGTTGATTACAGAGTACATGTTTGACAGGTGGACCATCATCACCATTATCCTGAGTAAAAACCCTTGCAAAGCAGGAATTCAAAATGTTTGCCATTTCATTATCATTTGTTACTAAGTCACCATTGTCATTCCTGAGAGGACCAATCCCAGTTTTGGACCTGGTTCTACTCTTTACATAACTGCTGAACTGCCTGATATTACTTTTTTTTTGACAAGCTAGTTTTTTCTCAAAATTCTTTTTTGCATTTTTTACCAAGTTTTTTACCTTTTTTACTGAATCTTTTTAGTTCTTCTGATTAGCTGGTGATTTTGACTCTTTAAACTTGTTGTACAGTCTCTGTTTTCTTCTGCTCTCTTGTAAAACTTTCCTGTTCATCCACAATGGTTTACAGTTTGAACGTCTGTTCTTCTTTTGTACATGTTTGTCAGTAGCTTCCTTTATTATCTCTGCAAGTTTATCCCAAGATTCCTCGGCATTTAGACTAGAGAGCTCGGCAGTCCAGTTTATATGCTTCATGTCCTCTAACAATGCTTGTTCGTCTGCTTTAGACCAATCATAAACATACTGGACTGATTTGTTAGAAATGCTTTTATGATGAAATTCTACCAAAATTGCAGTGTGATCACTTCTCCCAATGGGACCAATGTCAGTTATACTTGCTACTTTTTCAGGCTTTTTAGTCAACAATAAATCAAGTGTATTACCTTTTGAGTGTGTGGGAAACCTTATCATTTGGCTTAAAAAGTTGGTCTGTGTTGCTTCTAGAAATTCTCTTCCCTTAATATCTGAAGAAAGATTTTCCCAGTCGATCTTTGGAAGGTTTATGTCACCAATCATTACTGAATTGTTATTCATGTTCCTTACTAATTCACATAGTTTGCTTGAGTTACTGTTGCTAGAGTTTGGGGATCTGTAAACAGCTATGATATTTATTGATTCACTACCACTTTCACTTGTCAAAACATTAAAACTACAGTATTGATTAAAATCAGAGTTAAAGTTGTCAGTAGATAAAACCGTTAGGCCTAGCCTAACATAAACAATGATACCACCACCAATTCCATTCACTGTGTCCTGTCTATCCTTTCTTAGCGATTCTTCAATAGTATGGCCAGGTATTTGTAGAATGTCACTTGATATATTACTATTGCACCATGTTTCTGTTAAAATCACGATATCAGGATCAATTTCATTTAGGGTACAGGAAAGTTCATTAAGTTTACTTTGAATACTTTGTACATTAGCATAGAGGACTTTAAGTTTATCATGTGGGTTTATTTCTTGCTGGGATTTTGTTCTTCCAATCCCTCTGTTGTGTCCCCTGACCTGGTCTTCCTCTTGTGCCCCCCAACTTGCTGATTCACTGATTTGGGTGGGCGACCTTGACCCTTGCCTTGGGTTCCCTTGCTGGGTTGGTTTTCTAGTCTCTTTTTGGTTTTCACCAATCTCTTTTCTCCTTTCCAACCCAGAACCTTCCATTCCCAAACTAAAAAATCGTCTTCACTCATATCCTTGTTTAGTTGGTCTGCTTCTTTCCGCAGGTCGTCTTCAACTTTCCTTTGAAGTTTTGTTAGGTCAGGTACAATACTGATGTAGTTTACAGGTTTGTTTGAAGAATTTTTCATCTTTTCCAGGATTTCGGTTTTCTTCTCCATGTACTTCAAGCCAACTAAGAGTGGACGAGGTTTACTGTTCTCACTATTAACTCTGCCAATCCTGGTAGAAAACTTGATGTCAGCATCAGGATTTACTACACACTGAATCTCCCCCAGCACTCTAGCAAGAAGCTCTTGATCTTCATGTTTTCTTTCCTCACTAGTCAAGTTTGTGGCTGGTTCTTTTAAGTTGTGTATGATGATGTTCAATTTCTTAAGGTTTTGCTCTATTTGCTCGGCAATCATCGATTTGGCTGCATCCTCATTTTTTGAAGACTTCAATTCCTTGACTGATTCTTCAATCTTTTCAATTTGTTCAACTGCCTTATCAACTTTATCTTTGTTTGCAGCAATGTTTTCCACATTTGAAGTAACTGTCTCCTGTATTTTGTTTACAGTTTTCTCAAGGTTAGTTAGTCGTTGGTCAATAATTTTCCTGGCACTTCCACAGGGTTCACATTTCCAACAGTGGTCCTGACCTTGTTCTTTTATGTAGAAATTAGAAAATTTGAGGTTGTGGCAAAAACTCAATTCCTTTGCAGATTTTAAACTTAAAAAACATAAAAGTTTTAGTCCGATACAAAACACGAAATTGCGAGAAAAAATAGGATTTTAATAAATTATGATTTAAAAAAAAAATTCGAAAATGCAAAATTTATAAAATAAAATTTACCTTATTTGCAGACTTGAAAAATAAAAAGCAAAAAAGGTGTAGTCTGACATTTAAAATTCTCGCGAAATCGACTTCTAGAACCACTGTGCCCCCCCCCCCCCCCCCAGTAATTACCGAATGTTTTCAACGCTGTAATAAGTAATAGTGTAGAAGATAGGACCTGCTAGTTGATGTCCAATTTTTCAACCCCCTCCTCCCAAATCTTCGAAAAAAAATTTTCTTGAAAATCATGCCCCTTGGAAAGAATAAAATAAAATACCGGAAACAATAGATAAATGGCAAGTTTATTTTGAGTTAAGGAACCTGCAGGGTAAACACGCTTTATTGCAGAAAAAAAAATTAGGATTTGCTGAACACCAAAAATTTGTCTTATCAATGTATAATTGCCAAATACGAGAAAAATGTTAAATTTTTCTGGGGTGAATTTTTTGTTTTCGAAAACTACTTTTTCACATTCTGCCCAACACTAAATTTAAAAATCAAATCAATGGTTAACACAATGTTTAGACACTGGTGTTTAAAAGAGAGTTACGTGAAAGCTGTTGGTACAGGATTAAATCTGGATTTAAGAACGATAGAATTTAAGCTAATATCAACTCCTGTTCCGGGTTCCTGTATCTTCGATACACAGGTTAGTGGTTACAGTTTATCATTATGTTTCCGATATTTCAAATCAATATAGATATGATCAATGATCATGTTGTATCTGTTTAATTTGGTTTAACCAGGAGAAGGAACTGGAGTGGAGGTTTGAGGAGAGTTTACTCCAGGATCATGTTGTATCTTTTTCAGGTCTGGTTGAATCAGGAAAAGGGACATGATTGGAGGTTTGAGGAGAGTTTACTCCAGGATCATGTTGTATCTATTTCAGGTCTGGTTGAACCAGGAAAAGGGACATGACTGGAGGTTTGAAGAGAGTTTACTCCAGGATCATTTTGTATCTGTGGCCGTTAAAACCAAATATCAAGATGTATTTTATCAAGAGGTAAACTTTTTACAGTTGTTTGATGTGTACCATCACATCTTTATATTTATATCTGTCAAAAGTCTTATTTTCTCAATAATTTTTCTTCTCATGTACACCTTTAAAAGGGAAAAAATCGGAAGTCCTTGGATAAATTTTTCCGTTTTTATCGAAAGTAATTATGATATTGTCCATCAAAATTATATTTAATATTTATTTTCAGAAATGGCGGGAGGTTGAACTAGAAGAATTGTTACCTGATGAACAAGATCTTATTTCTCAAATAGATTCAGAGGATTGGAATTTATTCAGAACAAAAGAAAGAACAAAGCCTTTTTAAAATTTAGTATTTAAATGTTTTAGGGATTAATTTTGTTACAGATTTTTTACATTTTTTCAGAAAAATGTCCGTCTCTGTAGTAGACGTTTTTAAACGGTTTGACGCATATCCAAAAACGTTGGAAGATTTTAGAATAAAAACGTTCAGTGGCGGAACTATAACAGTGATCAGTGCTATCGTGATGATATTATTGTTTGCTAGTGAAATACAAGATTATCTTACTCCAGGTACTGCAGAGAGTTCAGGATAATTTTTTCCATTTTTTGAAATATCATTCACCCTGTTAAAACATATTGGTTCTCTCTCACAATTTAGGAAAAACTTATTTAGAGTTTAATAGACATTTTATCGACAAATCTGTGGATTCGGGGTAAATTAATAAAATTTGTGGTTTAGTTTTTCCCTTTAGTCTAAAAGTAATATTTAAAATCCCACTCGAAAGGCTTGTATCGATTATATTTCTTAGTTTTTCGATAATTTTTTAAAACTAGTTCTGTATATTTGTCAACATATTGTAATTCATTCATTATCTTTCAATTTTGTTTTCCTTGCACTTTCTACATTGTTCAACATTGTTCATTGTACATCGTACATTATACGTTGTACAATTATGCATTTTACATTGTACAATGTACATTCCTTTATAAAAAGCTGGTTTTTTGGTACGCAACAATTTTCACTTAATTCCGGCCTTTTTAATCGATTTAATATTTTACATGCATTTTACAATATTTTACAAATGAACGTCATTTACTCTCAGACAAATTAGGATCAATGGAAATTTAAATCCCCGAGGGATTCAATGATAAACCCAAGAGTTTTGTCAGATTAAATGATACATTGTACATTGTACATTGTACTAAGTTTCATTATTTTTATCTTAATCTAGGATTCATACAATGTAAGATAATAAAACTTAGTTTTCTAGAAATCATTTTAGTTAATCTATTTAAGCTGTAATAACCTTTAGACAGAAATATTTATGAAACTTAGCAGTTATTTACGTCAAGTGTTCTTAGATAATCGATTTATATCTGTTTTTTTATTTGGCAACGCCGGGCCCTTCAACTAGTTTTTGATATTTCTTGCTCTCTTAAAGGGACTATTAACGTAATTTAGGAACCGACCATTTGTGAAGGGGCGTTTCCGATTCATAACAGTACCCTTGTAAAACTTTGATCAATGATGACGGGCTAATCCTTATTTTTCTGCTGAAATTCCTTTAATTGTTGATAACTTTGTTTGAAACCTGTGCTTTTTTTACAATAAGAAATATTGATGTTTACTTCTCAGTAGTCGCAGGAATTTAATATTTTTATTCCAATTTTTTAAAACCGGGTAGGACACATTATTATTATTATTAAACAAAACTTCTGGGGATATTCTGGTGCCCTAGGAAGCCACACTCATCAGTACTTCCCCTCACGATATGTGTACAATCACGCCTGGGGTCGTCTGTTTGTAAACCGCCTGGGGCATGTTCTATTATTGAACCCTGGATGTAAGCGCACTGGGTGTTGGGATTATCGGGAACCTGAGTAAGCTGAGCTCCTAGGTTGACATCCACCAAATCGCCCATCCCCTATTAGGACACAGGTCAAATGCTGAGGATGGTTTACATAATATTCGGGATTCTTATAGAAATATGTAAAGTTAGCTGTGTTGAGTTTACATAGTACGCCAGCGTACGCTCCTTTTTCCGGTAATTTGAACTCCATTCCAGAGATAAAGACAAGGATTACTCTGCCGTTGACAATCAGAAAAGTCTTTAAGGGTATCCTTGTGAATTGGACATGCCCAATGCCTATAGAAGTAACGGATTACTTCAAATTACGCGTACAGTCAGTTTAATGCTTTTATTTTTTTGCGTAATGTTTGATAACAAATCCTAATTTTGTTTAGGGGTAGAGGAGCAATTGTTTGTCGACACATCCCGAGGCTCCAAATTAAAAATAAATTTAGACATTATTTTTCCAAAAATAAGCTGTGATTTTCTGAGCTTGGATGCCCAGGACGTATCCGGGGAACAACATATAGCAATTGGTGAGTTATTATTAAATATTTGTTATGAGTCAAACAAACATAATTGGTGAGTTATTATTAAATATTTGTTATTCGTCAAACAAACATAATCCGCTAGTTTTGTGAAGAAGCAAAACCCAATTAAACTTTGCCTATTGATTAATTTATTAAGCTTTAAATTATTTGAGATAATTTTTTAGTTTTTTGTTGTAAATTTTCTAGAACATAATGTGTATAAGAGAAGATTAGACCTAGAGGGTAAACCAATAGCTGATCCGGTCAAGCATGAAGTAGGAGAGGAAACTAAAGAGAATTCAACATCAACGGAGCTAGAGGCTCAGGTACAGAATTTAATATCAACGGAACTAGATGCTCAGGTACAGAATTCAATATCAACGGAACTAGAGGCTCAGGTACAGAATTCAATAACAACGGAGCTAGAGGTTCAGGTACATAATTCAATATCAACGTAGCTAGAGGCTCAGGTACAGAATTCAATATCAACGGAACTAGAGGCTCAGGTACAGAATTCAATATCAACGGAACTAGAGGCTCAGGTACAGAATTCAAATCAGCGGAACTAGAGGTTCAGGTAAAAAATTCAATATCAACGGAGCTAGAGGCTCAGGTACAGAATTCAATATCAACGGAACTAGAGGCTCAGGTACAGAATTCAACATCAATGGAACTAGAGCATGAGGCTGATCTTTTTCCTTCTTTCAAAAATTCTTAGTTTTCTGAATTAATTTCGTTTTGTTTGTTTAAGAGTGCTGAACCCAAATGTGGTAGTTGTTATGGAGCAGAGACAGAAGACATGAAATGTTGCAATACTTGCCAGGAGGTTAAACAGCAGTATCTCAGGTAAAATTAAATCTACTCTAAATGGATAATGCTCCAATAATTGACTATTATAATTGTTATTTGCTGGATTGAAACAAACGCTGAAAATAAATCACGAAATATTCCAATGAAGTTCTTTCAGTCCATCTATTTTTGTTATTTAAACAGATAGTAATAAATCCGGTTTTCTCTTAAACTGATTATTTTAGAAAAAGTTGGAAATTCGTTCCTTCAACAGTTGAGCAGTGTAGAGGAGAGATGTTTTCAGAAACTGAACAGAGAGTTCTTACAGAGGGTTGCCAGGTATAGAAGAGTTTTTAGAGAAGGTTGCCAGGTATAGAAGAGTTTTTAGAGAAGGTTGCCAGGTATAGAAAAGTTATAACAGAAGGTTGCCAGATGTAGAAGAGTTTAAAAGGTTGCCAGGTATAGAAGAGTTCTTAAAGAAGGTTGTCAGGTACAGAAGAGTTATTACAGAGGGTTGCCAGGTATAGAAGTGTTATAACAGAGGATTGCCAGGTAAAGAAGAGTTCTTACAGAGGTTTGCCAGGTATAACAGAGTTATTACAGAAGGTTGCCAGGTATAGAAGAGTTATTACAGAAGGTTGCCAGGTGTAGCAGAGTTATTACAGAAGGTTGCCAGGTATAGCAGAGTTATTACAGAAGGTTGCCAGGTATAGCAGAGTTATTACAGAAGGTTGCCAGGTAAAGAAGAGTTCTTACAGTAGGTTGTCAGGAAAAGAAGTGTTATTACAGAAGGTTGCCAGGTATAGAAAAGTTTTTACAGAAGGTTACCAGGTATTGAAGAGTTTTTACAGAGGTTTGCCAGGTATAGAAGAGTTATTACAGAAGGTTGCCAAGTATAGAAAAGTTTTTACAGAAGGTTGCCAGGTATAGAAGAGTTTTTACTGAGGTTTGCCAGGTATAGAAGAGTTATTACAAAAGGTTGCCAGGTATAGAAGAGTTATTACAGAAGGTTGCCAGGTATAGAAGTGTTATTACAGAAGGTTGCCAGGTATAGAAAAGTTATTACAGAAGGTTGTCAGGTATAGAAAAGTTACTACAGAAGGTTGCCAGGTATAGAAGAGTTCTTACAGTAGGTTGCAAGGTTTTTGAATGAAGTTTGTTAAATAGAAAATATTTAGATCTATGGTTACCTGGAAGTGAATAGAGTTGGTGGAAGTTTCCATATAGCTCCTGGTAAATCCTATTCTATTAATCATGTTCATGTTCATGATGTTCAACCCTACTCTACCTCAGACTTTAATGTTACACACACAATACGGCATCTCAGGTAACAAACACCAGATCATTTAACAGTTAACAGGGTATATTAGGACAGTATTTCCTGGGAAACATTTTTCATCTAAAATATACTTAATAAGAGGGGGGGGGGGGCGAATGAACTAGAAATGATCATTTTTAGGTAATTTCTTCAAAGTTAGTTTTAAACGAGGATATTTCTTATCATTTCAATGAAACGTAATTTGCCAGCTTCTTTATTCAAACTAAGAACTGGGAGTGAATGTATAGTAGTATCCCGTCTTCGGACCAGTGATGAAGAATACTTCTAAGGTCGATCTATCCATTTAATATGGTAGTGTACTATACTTTTCATAAGTAATGTACTAATTATTTCAATTTTTATCAGAGTAAAGCAGCATACTAGTTTCAGTTCCATTCCAATTTTTTCTTCGAAAATCTGTGCAAGAAAGATAAACCCTTCAGTAAAACATATAAACGCAATGAGAATATGTATATCAATGAGTATATATATATCAAACACATTTTATCGGGCTTAACACACACATTCCATAGCTTTTTTTATTTGTAAAAGCAAGTCCAAAAAATGATTGTTAACTGATTGATAAATTCATTAAGTACAAAAATAAGGGTTTGAAAATATATTAAATCGTAATAGAGCAGAAGCATAAACATATGCTAGGCAGAAATTGCCCTGTTTTTCTTAGCATTGTGTCAATGTTTATGTACGGTAGGGTACAGTGAAAATGGTATGAAACATATAAATATCATAAAAACGCTTCCTATCATTTTTTTTATTATGTAAAATTTAATTCTAAGAACAATTTAGAAAAGGCGTTTTTTGATTGGAGGACATCTCGATTCCCAAATTTGGGCTTTTATGTACCACATTTTTCATGAAATTTATGAAAATCCAGAAACTGTAACTTTGTCAGTTTTCTAGCTACAAAAATTTTTTTTACCAAAAAATAACCACAAATACCACTATAGTGTGGACGGAAGCCATAAAAAATGTAGTTTGTTCAGAAGCGAATGAATTATGAACACAGTTTTGTTCTATATTTTTATCGAATTTTCGAATATCTTGGTCTTTACAATAGTGTGTAATAAAATCCGCCCTAGACTTATGAATGTTTTAAACTTGGGCATTATCTCTCTATGTTGGAGCCTAAATGTAATGAATCCATTCCTGAGCCCGCAATTTAAAAAAATTCGGGAAAATACAGCTCAAGTCTAAGCTGTCGTTGGGCATTATTTACGGCTTGGCTTTCGGATTCAAGCAGCATCTTATTTTCCATAAGCTGAGTTCAAAAAACTGGTTTTATATTCGCACGGCCACAACCTTATAAGATCTTGTTTCATTGACTAGTGGAGGCATCCATGAACCAGTATTACATGTAGTCTCTCCAATGAAGAACTCACAAACATTCTTTAAACGCCATATGTAGGTCCAGATTATAAAATTCATTTACAGAGTACTATATTTTTAGTTCAACAAGTGACTGATGCAGCTTAGGCTGTTGTTGGACAAGAGGCCTGAGCTCGCGGTTTAAAAACTTTGGCTCGAGCCATAATTCCTTAAACCTAACTTTAAGACCCAATTCTGAAGACAGCTTGTATAGCATGGTTGACAGCTGCAAGATCTTTGGCTTGATTTAAGGAGTTAGACCCAATATAAAATAAAACCAACCTTAGTTGGTTTTAGTTCAGAATGCGCCAATTCCTGCCATGAAAATCAACCAAAAAGAATATGAAACCGGTTTTTTGAACTCAGCTCTTTGGAAAATAAGATGCTGCTTGAATCCAAAAGCCAAGCCGTAAAAAAGGCCCAACGACAGCTTAGACTTGAGCTGTATTTTCCCGAATTTTTTTAATTGCTTCCGTCCCCACTAAAGTGGTATTTGTGGTTATTTTTTGGTAAATTAAATTTCTGTAATTAGAAAATTGACAAAGTTACAGTTTCTGGATTTTCGTAAATTTCATGAAAAATGCGGTACATAAAAGCCAAAATTTGGGAATCAAGATGTCTTCCAATCAAAAAATGCCTTTTCTAAATTGTTCTTAAAATTGAATTTTACGAAAAAAAATGATGATAGGAAACGAAAAAAAGATTTATTTAATTTCACTGTACCCTAATGTACGGTTTTTGTAGTTTTGGAAGAAATGTGCCTGGCAAAACTGATCCAATGGATGGTGTCGTGGGAGTAGCAGAAAAGGTAAAATTTAGTTCGTCTAAGAGTATATAATTACCCCCCCCCCCTCATTATGCTTAAACAATCCTACATATGCATATTAAAGAACGACTATTGTAGAAAACGGCAGGGTGGGAAGAGAAAAGGTACCAATTTAGTTTTTAATTCATCGTCTACAAAACTCCCCCTTATCATGTACAGTAAATCCTGAATCAAGATGCTAGGTTTCGTGTTCTCTTGAAATGATATTTTGAGTGTAGGGGGAATATTATTAATGATAATAATAGCATTAACATTAATATATTCCGTTTTAGGGTAGTGAGATGTTCCAGTACTATGTTAAAATAGTTCCAACAACCTTTGCTAGACTTGATGGGTCAACCTTCATTACAAACCAGTTTAGTGTTACCAAACATACTAAGGTACAGTGTTAGCAAGCATACTAAGGACTAAGGTACTGTGTTACCAAGCATACTAAGGTACTGTGTTACCAAGCATACTAAGGTACAGTGTTACCAAGCATACTAAGGTACTGTGTTACCAAGCATACTAAGGTACTGTGTTACCAAGCATACTAAGATACTGTACCAAACATACTAAGGTACAGTGTTACCAAACAAACATACTAAGGTACAGTGTTAGCAAGCATACTAAGGACTAAGGTACTGTGCTACCAAGCATACTAAGGTACTGTGTTACCAAGCATACTAAGGTACAGTGTTACCAAACATACTAAAGTACAGTGTTAGCAAGCATACTAAGGACTAAGGTACAGTGTTACCAAGCATACTAAGGTACAGTGTTACCAAGCATACTAAGGACTTGGATACTGTGTTACCAAGCATACTAAGGTACAGTGTTACCAAGCATACTAAGGACTAAGGTACTGTGTTACCAAGCATACTGAGGTACTGTGTTACCAAGCATACTAAGGTACAGTGTTACCAAACATACTAAGGTACAGTGTTACCAAACATACTAAGGACTAAGGTACAGTGTTACCAAGCATACTAAGGTACAGTGTTACCAAGTATACAAAGGTACAGTGTTACTGTTACCAAGCATACTGAGGTACATTGTTACCAATCAAACTATGGTACTGTGTGTTACCAAGTGCAACCTTTGATGAAACATTTAAATTTTTATTTTTAGGTGATTTCAGCTTTCATGGGAGAATCCGGTATGCCTGGTATATTCTTCAATTATGAACTTGCTCCTGTTATGGTAAATAGAAGATATGTAGTTTTTCAGAGGAAACTATTCGGTGCAGAGTGTTCATTATGATAAAATCAGCAAATAACGTCACCGATTATAGAGGCGAGAGTGACGTCAAATGCGAATTCTATCTACCTTTGCTAAGGAGACGACATTTTCTGTACATTGGAGCGCATGTAGAGTAACTTTAACGCCAGAAAACGTACAGAATAATCGATGAACATTTTATGTTGTTTGTTCAATTGTACATGACAATTTTTATTATTAATCCTTTGCAATTTTTTAAAATGATAATTCATTCTTTTCGTTCCTTTTCTGTTTTGTCAAAAAAATCCAATTCAGAGAAATCAAAATGCATGATCCAATATGATGTCTGCTCGGACACTCTGCATAGTGTGGGGATCAATTTATTTTATAAGTCGATATTTTTTTATTCTCTAAAATCAGTAATTAACTTTGCATTTCTTTTAGAAAGAAACTTTTTATATTTTGGAAAAGTATTGCAATATTGTTATAATTGCATTTATGAAATTTACCTCTTTGATTCAGGTGAAATACAGTGAAAAGAAGAAATCTTTTGGACATTTTGCATCTGGCCTTTGTGCAATTATTGGTAAGTTTTTTTACTATTCTATTATTCTTAGATTTTATCGTCATAGTTATTGTTATTACCATTGTAACCATTATTGTCATAGTTATCGTTAAAGTCATCATTACCTTCGAAGTTATCGTTGTTTTCTCATAGCTATACCTCTTGTCGTTGCAACTATTAGCGTCATAATGAGACCATTATTTAAAAAGAAATATGTCTCGAAGCTATCCTTATTGTCATTGCAACTATTAGCGTCATAGTGAGACCGTTATTTAGAAAGAAATATGTCTCGAAACTATCCTTATTGTCATTGCAACTATTAGCGTCCCAGTTTATTTAGAAAGAAATATGTCTCGAAGCTATCCTTATTCTCATTGCAAATGCAACTATTAGCGTCATAGTGAGACCGTTATTTAGAAAGAAACATGTCTCGTACCCATCCTTATTGTCGTTACAACTATTAGCGTCATAGTGAGACCGTTATTTAGAAAGAAATATGTCTCGAAGCTATCCTTATTGCCATTGCAACTATTAGCGTCATAGTGAGACCGTTATTTAGAAACATATTAAATTGAATCTGACAGCACTATTGTATTTGAAGCAAGATAAGAATAATAATGTTTTAGGAGGAGTATTTACTGTATCCGGTATACTGGATAAACTAGTCTACAACTCAGGACGGATTCTAAACAGGAAAACGGAGATCGGGAAAACGGGTTGAAATAGAAAAACTGAACACACGTCACACACCTCTGTTCAGTTTTCACGCGCTCATAAAAAAGTTCACAAATTGTAATAGTTACACGCATGCAGAAATCCACATACATCTTTGTTTACATAAAAAGTGTACTGTAGTTTCTAGGTAGCTGACAAGGCTGATCATTGATTATGTTCCTCCTAAAAATGCAGTACACTTACTTTGGAAACAAAGCTATATATAGGGGTTCTTGCTGTACTTTTTTCATACATGTTGCATAATGTTAGGCTCGCATCATGAAATATTTCTTATAATTTAGTTGTCCCTAAGCTTGAAACATAATTTTATGCAATTATTAAAAAACATTAAGACTTTTTTTTTCACGCAAACTTTTTGTCACAAAGGATGCATTATAATTTACATAAATTGTATACTTACATATTTTTTGTAATGTAACCCTTCACAATTCGGGTTTATTTGATTATTTGTTTGAGATAGTTCTGCATTTATTTTAAAAATTTATTTTAGTTGAATGACTAATTGTTAATCTTTTTGTTTTCTATAGTTTCAGATTTGAAAAAGATAATGACGGACGATCAGGAGAAGCTGTTAGAAGCCGCCCGTGGTACTGTCAAGGTCGGAGTTTTATGTCAAAGGGGGCTCTTGTCGTAAATCCAAGTAACTCTCCATAAAATGAGTAACATGGCCGATCTACAACTGAATTCGTAAATCTTTATTTGAGTAACACCAATTTTCATGTTGTTGTTGTAGTAGCCATAGAACCATGGTACTGGAAATTGATTGTGAAGTTATTTTGTCCACCAACTGAATGGGGTTAGGTTCGCGCAACAGAGAAGAGTCCGAATTTAATGAATTTGAGCCGCCTCTCAAATTCGCCAAAACCCAGTTTCAATTGAGCGCCGGCTTAAATCTTTCAGTGGAACCAACTATATTTAAGCCACGTCTTAAAGTTAAGCCGCGGCTCTAATTCATTGAATTCGGCCTGATACTTCATGGAACCTACTCAATTATTACATCACCCTGACCTATTTGAGTGTTGGCGGGTTTCTATGTTATGTCATTCAACCCCGACAACGACTATAATTTAATGGTGTCGGTAGGGAATACTAGGGGCAAGCAAGATGTTCAATGCTAGATTGCAATTTTAGTTGCAATCTCAAGACGAAGATTTGAACCCCCGCCCTCAGTTCCGTGACTTGTGACGCTACTCACTAAGCCACGGAGCTCATCTCTCCGGCAATAAACCACAACTATCTTGAAATATTCATCTAGTTTTTCTCAGGAATATCATAACTAATTTTTTTCTTCAAATGTGTTAACCATTTTAAAAGGACTGTTTTGTTGATTATCTATTTTATAATAAGTACTCAATGTAGAAATAACCAGAGAAACCTGAGGCTGAATTTAAAGAATTTGAGTCTCTCGGCTTAACCATAATTGGTTTTGATTAAAATTTTAATCAATGTTTTGAGATTTGAGCCGACGCTTAACTGGAACCGGTTTTTGGCGGTTCAGCGACGCGGTTTAAATTCTGTCTCCGAAGAAATTTTGTTTATTTTAATAAAAAAAAAATATTCAGGTTGAAGCGTTCCAGATGAAGAGATGTTTGGATAAGAATAAATTAATGGACGGATTAAAACATGCAAGTGCAATGCTCAGGTAGGAAACTAATCACCAATAGATCAATCAGATCAATCAGATCAATCAGATCAATCAATAAACTGACGGATTAAAACATGCAAGTGCAATGCTCAGGTAGGGAACTAATCACTAATAGATCAATCAGATCAATCAGATCAATCAGGAATAAACTGATGGTTTAAAACATGCAAGTGCAATGCGCAGGTAGGAAACTAATCACTAATAGATCAATCAGATCAATCAGATCAATTAGATCAATCAGGAATAAACTGATGGATTAAAATATGCAAGTGCAATGCTCAGATAGGAAACTAATCACTAATAGATCAATCAGATCAATCAGATCAATCAGATCAATCAGGAATAAACTGATGGATTAAAACATGCAAGTGCAATGCGCAGGTAGGAAACTAATCACAAGCAGTTAAGTCTGGAAGAGATAAAGGGACATTTCAAATCCTTGCATGGAGAGTCACTTGTAATTATGCTTATAGTCACTTTAAGTCTAAAATTTAAATAAAATTATTCTTATATTCATTTTTACCCAGCATCTAACATGTTAATTATCAATTCATGAGATTTTGATATTTAAAGTTGTTTGATATTCTGTTCCTTTCAAAGTCATTGAATTTATTTCTATTGCCAAAAATCTCTTAAATTGAGATATTGTCTTTCTTTCAACCCTTATTTCGTTTACCATTGATTTAACTTAATATACTTCTTTCCTTAACATAATTTCACAACTTTAAAATCTAAAAGTGACATAACATCTTCTAAGTAAAATCTTCAACTTTAAATAATATAATGTCACATGACATCCTTTTATATGGACAACATAAAGAACTTGTCTCATTGACATCAATAGACATAGTCTAAAGGGAGTGACTTGCTAGACACGGCAGTCGAGATGAAAGTGCAGTCTTGTACTATTGTAGAGAACAACAGGATTCATTTGATACCAATGAGACTGAAACAACTGGTGAAATATTACAAACGACATCACTGTTTTATTTTAAAATTGTTCACCGTAAAATTGTCTCATTGGCATGAAATGAATTCTAATGATTTCTCTACAATACTGCACTTCCAGCTCAACTACCATGTCTAGCAATCACTTCATTTATCAATTGTCACATGTCTCTGGATAACTTGTCACAATGACATTTTTCCTAATGAATATCTTATAATTTTGTCACTTGTTCCATTGACATCAACACACATTGCCAGTGACAGGTGACACCAGTGCTTAGGATCCAAGGGCAAAATATCAACAAAAAACTGCAAAAAAAAAAATTACTCTCAAACCTCAAATCTTAACTATTGAAAAAAGGGAGATTATAAAAATTTCCTCATTTCTGAATGGTTTCATAAAGTTTATGCATAAAAATAAGCAAAAAAAATAAGACAAAAAATTTGAAAATTTTGCTTTGTTAAAAAATTCTGTAAATTTTATGGAAATAACCCGGATCCGGATCCATTCCAGTGCGAATCCAGGATCAGGATCTGGATCCGCATCAAAATTAAATGGATCCTGAGCACTGGTTGACAGCCAGACAAATGGAGTCTCTTGAAATCTCAATGACCGAACTGAGCAGCATCCATGGAATATAATTGCAAATCCTAAACCCACTTTACCCTTGAGAATTAGTATTTGTCATTTCAAGATTGTGAATGTGGTCGTAGGGCGTCCAAAGGAGTCTGATTTGATTAGATTTTGGGTAATTTCCTAGTATACGATTTTTGGATGGAATTCGTTTTATCTAAACAACCTGACATCAAGACGTCAGTGTACAAAGACATGAATTTAGTGTTGAAAAACATTAATTGAATGTGCACTGACGTTAGTTGAGTGTACAAAGACACCAATTAGAAGACATTAATTAAGTGTACAAAGACATCAGTTGAGTGTACAAAGACATCAATTGAGTGTACAAAAGACTTCAGTTGAGTTTACAAAGACATCAATTGAGTTTACAAAGACATCAGTTGAGTGTACAAAGACATCAATTGAGTTTACAAAGACATCAGTTGAGTTTACAAAGACATCAATTGAGTTTACAAAGACATCAATTGAGTTTACAAAGACATCAATTGAGTGTTCAAAGACATCAGTTGAGTGTACAAAGACATCAATTGAGTGTACAAAGACATCAGTTGAGTTTATAAATAAATATAAATATACCCAATATTTAGTGAGCTAAGAACCTCTCTGTTGTCCCCGAAGTCCTATTACGAGCTGTACATCGCAACTTGTGACGAGCTTCGTCATCTAGAGATATATTTACTGGACGAGTTCCAGAAAGGACGAAAGGTAAAATCAATCATCTGGAGTTTGCATCTTTTTTTCACTTAAACATTTTATGCTTAATAGGGAAATGCAATTGTTATTTAATAAAAACTTTTCTGAAAAATTAATTAAAATCAAGAGAATTTAATTTATAAAGAACCCGTAACAAGCAAGGCATTTTGTAATATCTCTGTAAATATTCAAAGTAGCCAGTTCTATTTTACAATGTAGACTCATAAAATTGCATAGGAGCAGGATATGAAGTCAGATTGTTGATATCTTTTTCCGGAGACTTGGAACCTCTGAAAAGTGGCCTTCGTCGGCTCCGATTTTTTTTTATCTCCGGCCTCGTTGGACATAAAAAGCCCAGTTTTTAATATGTACTCTCAATGAGTGACAATGACCCCTAAAAATACATTCAAGTTTTTGATATCAAACGGGGTGTCTAAAATTCCGTTTTTTCGATTTTTTTTATGTAATTATCTAAAACATTGGTAAAAAATGTCTAAAAAAAATATTTTTTCGTTGGCTACGGACTGTTTTTGTCTCTTTTTTGACTAATCAAGTTTTTTCTTTGCGTTTATCTCCATTATTAAGATGGTGGCCGGTTCTAATTTTCAAAATCATGTCATAAAATTACCTAGGAGCAGGATATGAAGTCAGCTTATCGGTTTCTCTTCCCGGAGACTAGGAACCTTAGAAAAGTAACCACAATCGGCTCCGATTTTTATCTCCGGCCTCGTTAGACATAAAAAGCTAGTTTTTCTGTCTTAACAGGTTGTTGAAAAATGTATTTTCACAAAAAATAAATCGAAAAAACGGAATTTTTTACACCCTTTTTGAGATCAAAAAGTTGAAGAAAAATTTGAAATTTTTTCGTGTATTTTAGAGTTCATTGGGAGTATTAATATCCTGCTCCTATGCAATATTATGAGTCAAAACTAGAACTGGCTGCATTGAATATTTACAGAGATATTACAAAATTTACTACTTGTTATATGGGTTCTTTTTAATTTTTAATTTTAGTTTTCAATTTTTAATTTGTTTTGAATTATTATTTTTTTTTAGGTTTCCGACCTGTATGAGTTGGTACAGTACGCTGGAAACATCGTTCCTCGGCTCTACCTTCTTATCACTGTCGGGGTGGTGTTCATCAAGTCAAACGAGTACAGTAGAAGGGATATACTCAAGGATCTGGTGGAGATGTGTAGAGGGGTTCAACACCCCCTGAGAGGACTCTTTCTTAGGTATCTAAGGAGACAGTAGACGTAATTTTCCTCCATTATTTGAGAGGGGTGTCCGATTCACACTGGACCCTTAAAATCTGACACATTTTCATATCAATTTCTCGAGACAGGAACATCAGATAGATGTCTTATATGTATCATTCAACGCCTGAGATTCTCACCTTTTTTACTGAAACTTTGTAGTTCTTCACATCAGCTGGTGATTTTGACTCTTTATACTTTTTGTACACTGTACATTCTCTGTTTTCTTCTGCTCTTATACAACCTTCCTTTTCATCCACAGTGGTTTGAAATTTGAACGTCTGTTCTTTTTTGGTACATGTTTATCAGTTGCTTACTTTATTTTAAGTGCAAGCATATCTCAAGATGCCTGAGCATTTAGATCAGAGAGCTCAGCAGTCCAGTTTATATGCTTCATGTCCATCCAACAATCCTTGTTCATAAACATACTGGACCGATTTGTTAGAAATGCTTTTATGATGAAATTCTACCAAAATTGCAGTTTGATCACTTCTCCCAATGGGACCGACGTCCGTGATACTTGCTACTTTTTCAGGTTTTTTAGTCAACAATAAATCAAGAGTATTACCTTTTGAGTATGTGGGAAACGTTATCATTTGGCTCACAAAGTTAGTCTGCGTTGCTTTTAGAAATTCTCTTCCCTTGGGATCTGTAGAATAAGTTTCCCAGTCTATCTTTGAAAGGTTTATGTCACCAATCATCACGGAATTGTTATTCTTGTTTCGTAATAATTCACATAGTTTGCTCCAGTTGCTATTGCTAGAGTTTGGGGATCTGTAAACAGCTATGATATTAATTGGTTCACTATCACTTGACAAAACATTAAAACTACAGTATTGGTTAAAATCAGAGTTAAAGTTGTCAAAAGATAAAACCGTTAGGCCTAAACAATGACAATGATACCACCACCAATTCCATGCATTGTGTTCTTTCTATCCTTTCTTAGTGATTCTTCAATGGTATAACCAGGCATTTGAAGAATGTCAATAGAACTATTACTATTGCACCATGTGTTAAAATCACGATTTCGGGATCAATTTTATTTAGGGTACAAAAAATTCACTAAGTTTACTTTGAATACTTTATACATTAGCATAAAGGACTTTTAGTTTATTATGTGGGTTTATTTTCTGCTGGGGTTTTGTTCTTCCGACACCTCTGTTGTTTCCCCTTACCTGGTCTTCCTCTTCATTCCCCCTGCTTGATGATTCACTGCTTCGGGTCTTCGACCTTGACCCTTACCTTGGGTTCCCTCTCTTGATTGGTCTTCTAGTCTCTTTATGGTTTTCACTTATCTCTTTTCTCCTTCCAATCCAGAACCCTCCACTCCCAAACTAAAAAATCTTATTTACTCATATCTCTGTTCAGTTGGTCTGCTTCTTTTCTAAGGTCATCTTCAACTTTTCTTTGGAGTTTGGTTTGGTCAGGAACGATACTGTGTAGTTTTCAGGTTTGTTTGTAGAAGTTTTCATCTTTTCCTGGATTTCGGTTTTCTTCTCCATGTACTTCAAGCCAACTAGGAGTCGGGGATTACTGTTCTCACATTTACTCTGCCAATTCTGGTAGAGAACTGGATGTCAATATCAGGATTCACGGCATATTGAATCTCCCCAAGCACTCTAGAAAAAAGATCTTGATCTTCATGTTTCCTTTTCTCACTAGTCAGGTTTGTTGCAGGCTCTTTTAGGTTGTGGATGATGATGTTTAATTTTTTAAGGTTTGCTCTGTTTGCTCAGCAATCATAGATTTAGCTGCATCCTCGTCTTTGAAAGACTTCAATTTCTTCAATCTTCTCAATCTGTTCCGCTGCCTTTTTAACTTTATCTATGTTCGCAGCAATGTTTTCCACATTTGTATTGACGGTCTGTATTTTGTTTACAGTTTTCTCAAGGTTAGTCAGTCGTTGGTCAATAATTTTCCTGGCACTTTCACACTCCACAGGGTTCACAACTTGTATTTTAATCTCTATAAGGAGTTTTAAGAGATCATAAGACATGCCTGTACAGGCTTTGTGTATCCATAGATCACATATAGAACATGCTATGGAGTTTGTTGTCACTTCCTTTCTGCACATTGGACATTTGTGCGCCATTATGAACAACAGAAAAAGACACTCAAGAAAAATAAAATAACCCTGTTTCCCCAATTTATTGGCAATCGGATAGAACCAGACTTATGTTTACAAACATGACCTTGACACCTCCCCTATGGAACTGGCAAATATTCCGGCGGGTGGCCCTCGCAGACTGCTAGGTAAAGTAATCGTAGTGAATCTGACATGCCTGTCTATAAATTGAGGATAACTTTAATTACGTCTACACTAAACCGTAGAATATTGTCAATTCTAACATTTCCTTTTTTATTTAGGCATACTGTACCGATACAATTCTTTTTCAAACTCATGTTTTCAGGAACTACCTACTGCAGTGTACTAGGAACATACTCCCTGACACCCTGGAGACAGGGGAGTTCCTAGAAGGACAGGATCCTGGCAAGATAGATGACAGTATAGATTTTATACAACTCAACTTTGCGGAGATGAATAAACTTTGGGTCAGGATGCAACATCAGGTCTGGAAACTACAATGCGACCCATAAAACTTCGGAATAGGAAGATAACTGTTAGACTCAAGTTATGATTTAAAATAGTTCAATTAACTTAAAACAAAGCAATTGTACAGAACCAGCTTAAACTACTGGAAAAATTCTTCTTGGTTTATTACAATACCAAATACATATTAGATTGTTTAAATGGTGTCTTCCTATTTTCCAAATTTTTATTTATTTATTTATTTTGATTATTATTTTATTCATTGTATTACTATTAAATGAAACTTGATTTTCAAAATATTAAAAAACAACTCTGAGCCTTTAGTGTGAAGGGTAATGAAAATTTTCTTCTAGGGGCATAGCAGGGAGAGGGAGCGCCGTGAGAAGGAGAGAATGGAGCTAAGGATCCTGGTTGGAACCAACCTGGTCCGTCTCTCTCAGCTAGAGAGTGTAAATGTTGATGTTTACAAGAAATCTGTCCTGCCCGGTCTACTGGAGCAGGTCGTGTCCTGCAGGGATCCCATAGCACAGGTATAATTACACCCTGAGTAATAAATTTAAAAACTTCATCTAATATTCTATTGGTGCCCGCCGTCCGGTCTAAAAATATTCTGGTATAAGTTGCGCTTCTTGTTGCTTCATTTTAAAAGGCTTTAAAGAATCTAGTTTATTCAGGGTTACCCACACAAAGGATTAGACTATTTTCAAAAAGCCTCGGACTGTTAAACTATGACAATGACAGTTTTTAGAAATCGGAGAACTAAAATCATGTATTCAATAAAAAATATAAAAATAACGACATAAGATAATCAAGAAAGGGGAAAACTTGATGTTTAGGAATATTTGATGGAGTGTATAATCCAAGTATTCCCTGATGAATTCCATCTCTCATCTCTTACAAACTTCCTGGAAGCGTGTGCTGAGCTCCAGCCTGCCGTTAACGTCAAGAACATCGTTATCTCTCTAATTGACAGATTAGCCCAGTTTGCGACAAGGTAACCCATTTCCCCTGTTAATTGTCAGTTTTATTCGTAGATCATCCTGTATTATTCGCCAGTTTTACCCCAGTTTTCCTAATTATTCTTAGATCATCCTATATTATTCCCCAGTTTTCCTAATTATTCGTAGATCATCCTGTATTATTCCCTTAGTTATACCCCAGTTTTCCTAATTTTCTTCACGGTTTGCGAAACCAGCCATATCGACAAAAATTTATAGCTAGCTCTTTTTGAACCTTTTTCTTCTTTTCTTTCTTTTCGTGATGAAGTCTTGTTGGATAAAAATAATGTGATTTCAACTACCTCAAACCCCGATAAAATTCATGAAAATTCAATAAAACTCATTAAACCTTATTTATTTTTAACCACAAAGCACCTCTAGAAGCCCAATTTAACTCGGAATGATTTATTAAATTCTCGATAAATTCTGGTATAACATGGTCCCTATAGAACTCAGCAAATACCAATGAAGCTCAAGAAAATCTTAAAAACCTCTCCCTCATATCTTTAACAAAAGTGGGCTATTTTTCTTATGCACGGACTTTTCCAACAATCGTTTTAAAGTTTATAAATAAAATTGTAATGAAGGAGAAGACGACGACATGCTAAAGTCATCTAATGTTGTTACAGAGCAAAAAGTTTTATAAGTTAGTTATTAACTCACTTATTAAATGAAAGGTGTCTGTTTATATTGCTCAATTACTGTGCCTAATGTTCATTGGACTATTTAAAGTCATACCTGGCGTATGAAAGTCGGCTTCCTATTCCCAAGTTTTCTGGTTATCACTATATATAACTATATTCAGGGAGGATTCTCCTGGAATACCTGAGGAAATTAAACTCTTTGATATATTCTCCAACGAGATAACTAGCATTATTAGGTAAACATTAGGGGATGGATTTTCTCGGAATTGAACCTATTTGCGCAAAAATATACTTGACATTTTTTTAAACAATTAAATGTTGATAGTTAATTTTGTTTTATTAGATTTAATGATTAAATGAATACATAACGAATAAATAATTAGATTAAAAGTTATGAAAGTTATAAATAAATGAATACATAACGTATAAATAATTAGATTAAAAGTTATGAAAGTTATAAATAAAAGATTTGTTTGAAACTTAAGATTGAATGAATTGATTAATACGATTATCTTTATCTAGATCTAGAACAGATATGCCTCCCGAAGATATTGTATCTCTAGAAGTTTCATTGATTAATATGGCGCACAAGTGCTATTCAGATCAAGTTGATCTTATAGACAGGGTTCTTCATAATACAAAGGTTGATATTTTATCTTATTGACAGGGTTCTTCATAATACAAAGGTTGATATTTAATCTTATAGGCAGGGTTCTTCATAATACAAAGGTTGATATTTAATCTTATAGACAGGGTTCTTCATAATACAAAGGTTGATATTAAATCTTAAAGACAGGGTTCTTCATAATANTAGCTTTGAGTTTGCGGAAAGTATTTTTAAAATTTCCATTAAAATTATTTCTACATGAATTTGAACTTTTTAAAGTTTATACTAATGAAATTATAATACGTTCAAGTATTGCTGGAATTGTTTCCTCTAATGAAGTTTAAAGAAGAGAAGGGTTTCGGCGACATTGCCGTGTATATTGACGTTCACAAAACGTTAACATGGTTCTTATTTATATCGTTTTTTTCCGTATGTTGTTTTACAGAACATAGAAGAAAGCGGGTTGACATTGTAAAACATATATTCTGTTTTAATAATACAAAGGTTGATATTTGATTTTATAAACAGAGTTCTTCATAATACCAAGGTTGATATTTCTTTCAGTTATGCCCCATAACATATGTTCTGTATTAATAATACAAAGGTTGATATTTCATTAAGTTATGCCCCATGACTTTCATTCTGTATTAATAATACAAAGGTTGATATTTGATTTTATACACAAAGCTCTTCATAATACAAAAGGTTGATATTTCATTCAGTTATGCCCCATAACATATATTCTGTATTTATAATGTCAGGGATATCTTCAGATGGATCACTTTCATCAAACAGCTCAGACATAACCTAGCATTATACAAAGGTTGATATTTGATTTTATACACAGAGTTCTTCATAATACAAAGGCTGATATTTCATTCAGTTATGCCCCATAACATATATTCTGTATTTATAATACAAAGGTTGATATTTGATTTTATACACAGAGTTCTTCATAATACAAAGGTTGATATTTCATTCAGTTATGCCCCGTAACATATATTCTGTATTTATAATACAAAGGTTGATATTTGATTTTATAAACAGAGTTCTTCATAATACAAAGGTTGATATTTCTTTCAGCTCTGTCCCATAACTTTCATTCTTCCACTTATAGAATTATTTTTCTTTCTTTAATGGTTTTAATCAATTACTCAAGAATTGTTCATCATACATACAGATACGGTTTCTCTTAATTCTAAACTCGATATTTCATTTCTACATTCGTATGTTATTCATTTTTACATAATTCATTTTATATTTGGACTTCTACTTTTCATTTATTTCATTACTGCTGGACTTAAAGTTTGGAATCTGAAAACTAATCCTGCAAATGTTTTTTTGTTTGTTTTTCTTTCCTGTTTTTTCATTTAAAAAACTATATTTGCGAATATTTAGGATTTGTTTGAGAGTGCGGATATAGGTATAGTAGAACACAGAACTCCAGTAGGACGAGAACTAGAGAAACTACTCAAGATACCGATTGACAGCTACAACGATGTTCTAATAGTTCTAGGCCTGGAGCACTTCATCCCTCTCCTTAACTGCTTCGATTACAGGTTTTAGAAATACCTTCCAGCTTGATTAATATTTTATTTTAATCTGTATCAGGATTTAATTGTTTTTGTTACACAAAGGAATTGAGTTTTGCCACAAACTTAAATTTTCTAATTCCTATATCTTTGCAATATGAAAGCATAAACATTTGATATTGCAAACTTAGACTATTTGATCTAACAGAATTCATAGTTTGAAATATCTAAGGTCTATGACATTGGGTTTTAAAGATATAGTTATTAGAAAATAAGAGTTTGTGACAAAAATCCAATACCTTTTGCTAATTGTTTCTGTAAAACATATAAATAAATGGAGAGAGCCCGCCTCCCATTGATTCTGATACGTTTATTCTATCTATAATTTTTGTTCTAGTCTATTATAAGAAAGAGAAACCTTTTGTTGATGAACTGCTATGTTAAACCCTTGTTCACACTCATTAAATTCCTCTTCATCCTTCCCCAACCTTCATAAAATACCTCACATGACTTCTAGGAATTGTGTTAATAAATAATCAAAAAACTTTTTAAAATATTTTTTTTCTGTTAAGTGGCCGACGAGAGATGTCGTCCTACTTGGTGAACAATGTGATTGAGAACAGTACCTGTATCCCGAGCAGTGAGAGGGTGGATACTATCCTAACCATAGTTGCAACCCTGGTACAGGATCAGAAGGATGGTCCCACTGCAGAGAAAATAAGGTTGGAGATATACTAGTTTGTATTAATAGGATACTGGTCCTATTGCAGAGAAAATAAGTTAAGAGATACTAGTATTAGTAGGATACTGGTCCTACTGTAGAGAAAATAAGGTAGGAGATACTAGTATTAATAGGATACTGGTCCTACTGCAGAGAAAAGAAGGTTGGAGATACTAGCATTAATATGATACTGGTCCTACTGCAGAGAAAATAAGGTTGGAGATACTAGTATTAATAGGATACTGGTCCTACTGCAGATATAATAAGGTTGGAGATACTAGTATTAATAGGATACTGGTCCTACTGCAGAGAAAATAAGGTAGGAGATACTAGTATTAATAGGATACTGGTCCTACTGCAGAGAAAATATGGTTGGAGATACTGGTATTAGTAGGATACTGGTCCTACTGCAGAGAAAATAAGATAGGAGATTCTAGTATTAATAGGATACTGGTCCTACTGCAGAGATAATAAGGTAGGCAATACTAGTATTAATATGATACTGGTCCTACTGCAGAGATAATAAGGTAGGAGATACTAGTATTAATAGGATACTGGTCCTACTGCAGAGAAAATAAGATAGGAGATACTAGTATTAATAGGATACTGGTCCTACTGCAGAGACAATAAGGTTGGAGATACTAGTATTAATAGGATACTGGTCCTACTGCAGAGATAATAAGTTGGTTGATATTAGTATTTATAGCAGTATAGCATATTTGTATATATATTATAATATATATATGAGCGAAAAGCTTAATTATGTAAATGATGAATATCACCATCCATATTTTTTCCCTAGATCTGAAGATTTAGAGGAGTTTACTGAAGAACAATCTTTGATGGGACGATTAGTTCACCAGCTTCAGGGACATTAAACCAACATAATAATAATTATTTTAGACATGCGTCTACATCCCACTTTATTATCATTAAAACAATATAATAATAATAGTTTTAGACATGCGTCTACATTCCACTTTATTATCATTAAAGGGTCTGTAGATGTCAGTTTAGATGTCCCTACCTACATTTTAATTCACAATGGCGCCCTGTTAAACTTTATCTGAGCCACATTGAGGAAGATTTTGTCATTTTTCTAGATTTAAAAGTGTTAAATTCGTACAATTTTCTTTTTTTCCCTCCTATTGCATAAATCCGCCTCTCACTTTTATAGAGAACCGCAAACAATTTTAAGACAGAGAAAACATGATTTTTGTTTAAAATAAAGTGATAAAGGGTGAATCGGACATGTCTCTGAAAATGGAGGGTCACTTGAAATTACATGTACAATCCCTTTAAGTTGTTGTAAATGTAGAATGAATTTTAAATCTCCAATATTGATGCTGGCTCTATACTGTAACTATAGAGTCTATAGGGTTCAATAATAGAACATGCCATAGGCGATTAACAACAGACGAATGTGGCTGAACAGTTCACACGTATCGTTTAGGGGAAGTACTGACCAGAATACTCCCAGCAGTTTGCTTTAAATAAATAAATAATAAGTTCTTGATTTATCTCCTATCGACTGGTTTGAATGGTTGTACAGGGAGAAACTGCTGATGAACAATATCAGATACTGAGTACAGCAAGAAAACATTTTGCAGCAGGGGGTCCTCTCCGTATACCCTATACACTACCCCCTCTAGTATTCCAGGTACCCCCCCCCCCCCATATACACACACCGTGGAATTAGATGAAATAGTAAGAGAAAAATATTTATGTTTAATTATAATTTGAATCAAAGGAATTTAAATCTTGTCTCAAATTTTACTTTTCTATTTCTTTAATTTTCCAACCTGATGTCGTAGCACGTAGATTTAACGGTTCTGTCAATATTTCAGAAAGCTGTGAATTTGACCCATTTAACATCATTTTTAAGCGTTTTTTCTTAAATACTTTTATGTTGGCATATACATTTTAAATTAAAAAGTATTGGATAAAGAACAAATATTGCTAAATTATAGACCAAAACACGTTTGATTTCAAATTGAAGAAACCGAATGCTCCTCACTCTGGTTAGTCCGGGGCGGTCGACTTTATATATTTAATACTATGAATTCTGCTAGATCTAGCAGTCAAACTTTCAAAATCAAAGGTTTGTTCCATCAGGTTGCAAAGATATAGTCGTTAGAATATTAGAGTTTAAAGAAGTGTTCAGTTTCTTTAAATATGATTTCTAAAACCTCAAAGAATTTAACGTTGTTGGCCTCTCTTTCTTTGCTCATTACTTACTTGTTATTATTAGTCGAAGAAAAAGCGTCGAACATTAATTTTTATTTTTACAAATAAAAAATTAATCTTATTTAAAAGATTTCCCTTTAATTTATCTTTTTCAGGCTTTCAAGCTGGCTAAAGAGTTCTATAAACTGAAGGATACAGATGAAAACTGGAATCCTAAGATTGAAAAAATATTTAAATATTGTCACACAACTATCAGGGAAATATCGTACAATTTTTATCCTTAAATACACCTCTGTTTTACTTATTTAATAAAATAATTTTTGATGAGATATATTGTAAACAATAAAAAGATTTTGCTATCATTAAAACAAATTAACTTCTTTTCTTTTTAAAATTGTGGTCATCTTCAGCTCTAGTAATTTTTAAAAAAGAAAATATTCTGTTTTTTTAACTTTTACTTATTTATCTTTCTGTTTGTGCATCCCCGCGCCAAAAAAAAACAGATGCTGTCAACATAAGTATAATATATTTATATATATATGTATAATATATATCTCAGTTTTTAAACTTAACATTTTATTCAAAAAGAATAATACTAAAAAAATCTTTCACGTCTCATGACGATCCTTAGTAGTCAAAAGTCTTTAAACAACTTTATGTATATTTATTTTACATAATTTGATCAATTGTCTATCCATCTTTCATATGTAAAGGAATTGATTCTTCGCCACAAACTCTGATTTTCTAATCCCTATATACTTTCAACCCAATGTCGTAGAACTTAGATATGGCAAACTATGAATTATGTTATCAAATAATCCAAGTTTGAAATATCAAAGGTTTACACCATCCGGTTGCAGTTGTTATGGAGATCAGAAAATTTGGCAAAAACTCAATTCCTTTATCTGTCTGTGTATTTATAAATGTATGATGTTTAACAGTGCTCTGGTTAAAGCTGAGCTTGCTGAGCTACCACTTCGACTTTATCTTCAGGAAACGAATTCATTCAAATATTCAACCAAGTTTTCACTTATCATTTATTAGAAACATTTATTAAACTTATCATTTATTCAAATATTCATCTAACTTCTCATTTATTAAAAACATTCATCCCACTTTTCATTAATTCAAACATTCATTCAACTTTTCATTTATTTAAATATTCATCCAATTCTTCATTGTTTCAAATATTCATTAAACTTATCATTTATTAAAACATTTATTAAACTCTTCATTTATTAAAATATTCATCTAACTTCTCATTTATTAGAACTATACATTCAAGTTAAATTATCCAACTGTTTTTAAGTAGTAATGATCGTTTCAGAATTGTATAACTTTTCATCCTTTGATCAGTTTCTCAACCCCCTGTAAGCTGAATGAACCATGAAAATGTTCTCCAACTTTTGATTTTTTCATTTTTTTAAATAGTCATCTAAAACCTTAAAAAATATCCATCTGTATTTTTATCGTTTCATCTATATAATAATTCTCTTCGCTCATGTAAATATATTAAGTAACATTGGCTAAAAAAATTCGACATTTTTTCTTCTTTAAAATCAAAAGAATTTTCTTTCAAAAATGAAATTATTTTTACCAAATTAAAAAACACACAACGGTCAACCAATATTTGAAATTTATTCATCTTCTGTAATTATGACTGAATATGGTTGTGTACTAGGCTGCATTAACCTGTGATCAAGTTCCTTATGAATCTCAGGAGACCATGGCTTATGAGTTTATGTCCCAGGTAACAAATGTCGAAAAGCTGAAATACCTTTTTCATGGATAATCTGCATTAGTCCACTTCAAGTCTTTATTATTTTTAGTTAATCATTCTTATTTTATGTTCAATACTCATTAGCTTAATTAGTCGTCCTTAGTCAGAATTTTATGAATTTGGACCGCGTCTCAAATCCGCCAATAATCGGTTTCAATTGAGCGTCGGCTTAAATCTTGAAACGTTGAATACAATTTTAAGGGAACCAACCATATTTAAGCCGCGCCTCAAATTCTTTAAATTCGGCCTCTTTCTTTATGATATATCTTCCTTAGTTTAAGTTAGTCATTTTTATTTGATGGTTAATCTTTATAAGTTTGTTGTTAGTCTTTATTATTTATTTAAGTAAAATCTTCGTTAGTCACAGCAAGTCGTCAATTTTCTTATTTAACGGATTTTCAAATTTTTTGCCTAAAATTTAATTCTTTAAAAGTAAAATTTAACTTTTCAGTTTGATATTTTTCCTTTTGTCCTATTTCTAGGCCTTCTCCTTATATGAAGATGAGATCTCAGATTCTAAAGCTCAGCTGGCTGCCATGACTCTCATAATAGGTATAGCTAGGGGTTTTACAGGGTAACCAGACAATTTTGAATTGAGTGTCTTTTTTCCCTTTATTATGAAATTTTGCCATGAATTACTTTTTACACTAAAAAATAAACACAAAATATTACCTACAAGAAGACGACAATTATTCCACTGTTTTCCACTGGAATATTTAACATTAAAGGTTTAATACCTTTTAGGTGTCTTTAGAAAATCGTGAATTTAAATCATAATTTACTTCTACTGAATTTTGCAAAGTGTGGATTCAGAAAGAAGATAAACACCTGAAACAAGCAGAACTTTTCTAGTCAGAAAAACGATTATATTTTTCCAATTATTCATCAGATATATGTTAAAAAGGTACCACTGTGAATCCGGCATACCCATTTTATAACGGAAGGTCACTTGAAATTAAAACAACAGTCCGGTCACTTTCACGAACTCTCAAATCTCTCTTGAAAGCTTAAAACCCAAAAAAAATATCAAATAATCAAATCTTCTTCCCAACACCAACCAATCATTTAAAAGTTACCACATGCATGCTAATTTTTTCTGTCATGTCCTAAAATTCTCATAAAGAGCTATGTACGATCCCATGCGATGTGGACCACCCTGTATGTTAACACTAAATATATTTCATTGATATCAGATTTTATGTTTTCACTTTCCAGGAACATTTCAACACATGTCCTAAAATTCTCATAAAGAGGTATGTACGATCCAATGTGATGTGGACCACCCTGTATGTTAATACCAAATATATTTCATTGATATCAGATTTTATGTTTTCACTTTCCAGGAACATTCCAACAGACTAAGTGTTTCTCCGAGGAGAACCATGATCCTCTCCGAACTCAATGTGCTCTAGCCGCAGCTAAACTACTCAAGAAACCTGATCAGTGTCAGGTAATCAATCAACGAGCTCATGAAGCCCTACTCGAATTGGCCGAGGGATGGAACATTTCAACAGAATGGGTTTTATATTGCATTTTACCTTTAATAAATTCACATTCAGGATTATGTAGCACTTTATAATGGAAAAATCAATTTCAAACATTTCAGTTGAGTTCCATCTCAGTCTCGGGTTTAAAAAAATTAGGATATTTTAGATGGTTAGCATTGATCATTCCTAAGGATTTTAATCCCTGGTAATATGTGTATTGAATTGTTATGTACACTATGAACCTCGCTGTAGTGGTCCCCAGAATATAGTGGAGAATATATATGACCAGAAATCCGTCTTATTTAGTAAGGTTACAATGTTAAGACTATTATTTGGTGGTAATTTAGAGTAGGTTTGAGTTTTGACCTTGATTTCCTTGGAATGAGTTTAATTGATTATTATGATTATTATGATTATTATGATTATTATTATTATTATCATTATTATCAATTGATTATTATGATTATTATGATTATTATGATTATTATTATTATTATCATTATTATCATCATTATCATCATTATCATTATTATCATTATTATCATTTTTATTATCATTATCATCATTATCATCATTATTATCATTATTATCATTATTATCATCATAATCATCAATATCATCCTTATCATCATTATTATCTTTGTTATTATCGTCAGGGTGTACTAACCTGCTCCCATCTGTTCTGGTCAGCTCACACTGCTTCCTCTAAGGATAAACCTATCAGGGATAAGAAGAAAGTATTGGACTGCCTCAAGAAAGCTTTGAAGATTGCAAACCAATGCATGGACACAACAGTTCAGGTAGACTTGTAGACGGATTTATAGAATCTTACATTTATCTTAGCAGAACAGAGTATACGGAGTTATGGAATCCTACATTTACCTTAATAGTAAAGTGTATACGGAGTTATAGAATCCTATATTTATCTTAATAGTAGAGTGTATACGGAGCTATAGAATCCTTTATGTATCTTAATAGTAGAGTATATACGGAGTTATAGAATCCTTTATTTATCTTAGTTGTAGAATGTATACGGAGTTATAGAATCCTTTATTTATCTTAGCAGAGTATACGAAGTTATAGAATCCTTCATTTACCTTGGTAGCAGAGAGTATACGGAGATATAGAATCCTACATTCCTCTTAATAGCAGAGAGTATGCGGAGTTATAGAATCCTTTATTTATCTTAATAGCAGAATATGCGGAGTTAAAGAATCCTTCATTTACCTTAGCAGATAGTATACGTATTTAAAGAATTATTCATTCATCTTAGTAGCAGTGCATCTGAGTTTAAAATTTAGAGATAATTCTTTTTGTTTGTAAAAGAAATAATTATTAATAAGCTATTATTAATAATCAAATTATAGTTTTCTAATCTAAGCTTGAGGTTTATTGTGAGGTAATAGATTATTGTTTAACAAAACGCTTTTTTCAATAATCCAGTAGATTGCAAGCGCCATTGATATTATGAAGTGTAAAAAACTTGTTTTCGATTTTTTTAGGCTCAGCTATTTAACCAGATCCTGAATCATTATGTTCAATTCTTCGAGGATGGAAATGATTTGATCAGTATTGAAATGATAAACGAGGTAACTAAGTATAAAGTATATGTACACAAGGCTAGACCAGGCTGAAGGGGGGAGGGGGCTGGGGGAGGGGATTGGGGGGAGTCAATGTACAAGAATAAAGGGATAGGAGCAAATTTCAAACACACAACTTCATACTGGTAATAACTTAATCATTTTGTACTGACAACATGCTTAGGGCAAACTCACCTTTTTCTTTCGTATCAGGTCAAAATTTAGTCCTATCCGGTCAAGTAAAGCCAATAGTTTAATTTGTTCATCCTTAACACGATTTTTTATGAAAAGGATAAATTCAAATTGTCTGACTCCTTTTGATTTGCATGCGTTGTTTGAAATGATAAAAAAATGGTTGAAGGTTTTGTTTTATGAACTTGAACGGTTTAACTAAACATAGTCCGAATTTTATTAACTTGAGCCACATCTCAAATCCGCCAAAAACCGGTTTCAGTTGAGCGCCGGCGACATTGAATACAATTTTAAGAGGAACCAACCAAATTGAGCCGCGGCTCAAATTCTTTGAATTCGGACTCAGTTTTAGTTTTTACCACCAAATTTTTCAAGTACTCATCCTCCACAATTGTTTTAGAGAATTCTAATGCACGAGCTTGTGAACCTAACTTTACCTGTAGATCTGAAATAATTTCAAACCAATCAAAGAACATTTATATCGGTCTAAAGTGTTACCCAATTTGTGGCAAATCGGTTAAGGGGTTTAAAGTTTATGGACTTACATGATCATTGTTATTGTTATTATTATTATGATCTGACATACATACAAACAAACAGGCAGAAAGATAAGCAAAGATTACTTCAAGTTTTGTATTTAGATACATTTTCAAATATGTGTTATATAAATAGAATATATATTGTATATTGTAAATTGTATATTGTACATTGTACATTGTAAATTGTAAATTGTACATAGTACATAGTACATTGTACATTGTACATTGTACATTGTACATTGTAAAAAATTCTGTTAAAAAAAATATGGATCCGGATCCATTTTTTTCCCAATGCAGATCCGGGATCCGGATCCGTATCATTATCCGCATCAAAATTAAATGAATTCTAAGCACTGTATTAAATATATATTGAATATGTTTAGTTGGTTGGACGTATATCTGACGAACTGAAAGGACTGGAAGGAGGTGATGAAGTTCATCAGATATCTGGATTATTCAATAGGAACAGATCTATTCTTGTCCCTACCCTCCTCTATCTTAGATTCTTATCTTTCTATTTTAGTATTTAGTGAGTCAACTAGCTAAATATAATCGGAGAACTAGTCATTCCTTTTCATCCTACTCACCCCCCCTCCATCTCTATTCTAGTTAAAATCCATTTCCAAGATGTGAATTAGGATTTACATCCTCCCCTCCCCCTGTTCTTCTCCACATTCTGATCCTCAACCAGCAGTGCCATTTCATACTAAATTTTCTCATTAATCTGTATTCTACTCCCTCCTCAATCATTTTCTATTCCTCTGTTATCTTTTTTTTCTATCCCTCTTATCTTTTTTTCTTTTCTATCCCTCTTATATCTTTTTCTATCCGTTTTTTATTCTTCTTTTATCTTTTTCTATTCTCCGGCCTTTATATCATTTTCGATCCCTCTTATCTTTTTCAACTCCTTCCATTTCTAGTTCTCTATCGATTTTCAGTCCATATTAACTCTGTTGCTCAAATCTTCAACCACGCATCTCTCCAACTTCCACAACGCTGATATAACAGTTCAGTCCTTTCTCCCAACAAGCTGTCACTTCTGATCATAGTTTAACCTTTCAAGCGTGAAAGTTTCTCTATTTTTCTTATATATTTTGTTGTCGGCAGATGCAATGAAACCCTTAATAACGAATACATCGAAAGAATTCATCAAATGTCGTATTCTTCAGTTTCTGAAATGGAATGTTGCAGATATTTAGTTTATTAATTAAATGATTATATGGAACTCTTTAAAACTGTCCCTGCATATTCATGGCTATTTATTTATTTTCGCAAATACTGAAATTTACGAAATATAGTATAAAACTCATTGAAAAGTTGTCAAGACGACATTAGATAAATTCTTCCGATGTATTCTTTATTAAGGGTTTCACTGTATGTTTTACATGAAAGTTTATTTTGATTGATGAATTATAGACCAAAACATAATTGAATTCAAATTGAAGAAACCGAACGATTCTCGCCCTGGTAAGTCCAGGGTGCCCCCTTCTTTGTCTTGTAGTTGCTTAACACTGACTAGAATAGATACTGTTTACAGAACAGTAGAACACATTAAACTCAAGCAGGCTGAGAAACCAGAGGGATTATATGCAGGGTTTAAAGAGTAGATAATCCTCTTTAAATATGGAGAAGGTACTCCTCTTTATACAAGGAGAAGGTACACCTTTTTATACAAGGAGTAGGTACTCCTCTTTATACAAGGAGAAGGTACTTACCATGAAGGAAGCGGTACCCTTAGAGTGAGCGCTGATGATCTCCTAAATTTATTAAGTTTAAATTAAGAGAAAAGTTTAAATCATGAATTTTTTAATTATGAAATTTAGATTTTGAAACTCGTGATATTTATATTAATTGTGATTATTTTTCCTTGTGATGCTAATTTAATAATATGATATGATATATATAAATTTAATTTAATTGTATTTTATAATTTTAATGATTTATTTCAGATGATAAAAATGATTTTATCTGTTTAGATTTCCTTTCACTTCAGGTTTTATGTAAGCATTTTACTTCTAGAATAAGATTATTGATTGCTAATAACTGTCATAAACCTGAAGGGGCTGTAGGTTGTAGGAACAGTGGATTACAAATTCTTGGTGGGATTATTAAAAGGGGTTCCAACTTGTTTGTTGGAATTAGATATAATCAAAATAGAATTTCGTGATCAAGGAAGTTGTTCACAACCACTTAGTTTAATTAAGGAAAAAGATTACATGGTCTTTGTACAGTGGTAGGCGATTGTATCAATACAATAAAGACTACTTTCGATTTAAATTTTGATTTGTTATCAAGTTGTTAAACAGTATATTCACAGTTTTCAAACGATCACGATAAAGAGATTTTATATGAGCAAGATAGAGAGTCACAGATTTTTCATAGGATCAAGATAGAGAGTTAGATTTTCATAGGATCAAGATAGAGAGTTAGATTTTTCATAGGATCAAGATAGAGAGTTACATAGTTTCATAGGATCAAGATAGAGAGTTGCAGAGTTTCATAGGATCAAGATAGAGAGTTACAAAGTTTCATAGGATCAAGAAAGAGAGTTACAGAGTTTTCATATGATCAAGAAAATAGGTTACAGAGCCCTGGTGGTATAAGTTACCGAGTTTTGTTAAGATCAAGAAGATAGGAAAATAGACCTTTGCTGGACTGGATTACAAATGTATTGTTTAAGAAAGTGAAAGCAGAATCTGGGTTAATTTTGTTGATGGGGACTGATACTAGTGTCCCCCCCCCCCCCTCCTGAGTTTCTTTAATTTATTTAATGTGCGTGCGCGGTTTAAAGTGTACAGGTGGTTATATCTACCTGCCCAGTATACTAGTCAACTTCAGTTCTTCACACACAGCCAATCCAACCCAGACCATATTAAATCAGTTTCAAATCTTCAATCGAACTTCTCCATTCCAACTTTTTTGTTATCAAATCCAACGCACAGAAAAAAATCGCTTAAAACATTCTTCCTTTCTCTAGTTATTAATTATCGCAAGAAATTCTGAAGAAATTACAAAAGGGTAAATTCATTTTTAAGCAACGTTTTTTTGGGGAGATTTTTTTATTATTGTTTCTATTCTTCTATAATTATTGATTCTATTTTGGAGGGGGGGGGGGGGCTGTCATGAATTTGCAGGCAATTTTGATATTTTTGTTGCTTCTGTTATGATAAGCTTGGTTTTTGTAAATTAGTGGCTAATCCCTATATCTTTGTAACCATATGGTGTAAACTTTTAATATTGTGGCAAGAACTCAGTATAATTTTAAGTAAACCCCCATGCAAAGATGCCAATGCTCTAATTACAATGGCACCCTCAAAAGCTTAATCTAATCGAGTATAAATTATATTTTAATGTTTGTAATCTTGAAAACTGATTATTTTTAATTTGGGTTTCACCACTAAAGTGACTTGCGCATTTCTACTGCAGGAAACCATATATAATTTATCAGAATTAAACATAAAAAACGACAATATCTTTCATATTATTGATCAGATAAAGGTTTAAGGCTACCGTTGTGAATCAGACATTGCCATCTTTGCATAGTAAATAATTTGGAATTACGCTTAAAGTCCCTTACATTTGATGTATTTTGCAGGATATATTTTGTTTGAACTTTTCTTCACAAATCTGAGAATCATGGAGGCTCTGTGATGGACAAGGTAAACTTTACACAAACATTTAAGGGACTACTGACCTAATTTCAAGTGACTAGCTATCAGACAGAAAAACAAGAAAATCTCTGTCATCCATGAAACTGCCACTGAAAAATTTGGTCTCTTGGAACTAAATACGCAGTCCCTTTAAATAAAGATTTAACGCTTGGACATGGAACTAAAGTTCATTCCATTTTTGCTTGAAATCTTGCTTGTTCACAAACTCACTTTTTCTAAAGGTCTATTTATATGTAAAAACTGATTTTAACACTAAAAATCAATTTTACGCCCTTATTTGTTAAATGTTTTACAGAATTTAACATTTCTGAATTCAGTACGGACCTTTTCATTTTCATTTCAATATTTTGTGATGATTTTTTAAGAAACAGTTTCCGGTTGGCAATTTCATCTGGCAAAAATATTTTTTTTTTCAAATATTTAGAACTACTAGTGGAGTGGAATAGTAAATCAATTCTGGGTCAATTTGTAAAGAAATACACTCCTGGATATTAAGAAATACACTCCTTCCAACTTACTTTCTGGTTTAAAATGTAAATATGTTATTAGGTATCTGGAGGTATATACAACATGTTTGCCAGGGTTACCTTCCTCCCTACCCTAGCTTATAATGTAGCTATGGAGAGAATTAGTTCTAGGTATTATTATTATTATTATTGTTGTTGTTGTAGTTGTTGTCGTTGTCGTTGTCGTTGTCGTTGTCGTTGTCGTTGTCGTTGTCGTTGTCGTTGTCGTTGTTGTCGTTATCTTTATCTTTATCCAAAGTTTTATTATTATTTTAATATTTTTTTCCTTTTTTATTGCTATGAAAATTTTCGAATTATTTATTTTATTTAAGGGGAGTGACCGGCAATGTATGGTAGTTGAACTGAGATTGCAGTATTGTAGAGAAATTTTTTGGGATTCATTTGAGACATATAAAACAATTTAAATATCGATAATTACTGAGAAATTTGTCAATAAAATAATATTAGAATCAATTATTTCGTTTTCATTATTATATTAAATTTCTTATTTTCTATGAATTTGTTCGCAGATTTCTTCAAAATCTTCAAATGTCGTCTTTTCAATGAAATTCCAGAAAATCTGCAAAACATCTGTGTGAATAACGAGAGATTACAGAAGCTAATAATTAAATAAGATCACTTATTTTCGTTGATAAAAGTTGATTTTTATTTCCTCAACCTGTTACTAAACAACTAATTAGTTTCTGTAGAATTTTTGTTACATTATTTGTCGTCGTTATTTAATAATTTAAAAAAACGATTCTTAAAACGTACCCACCCAAATTGATGATTTTGAACATCGACTTTGCACTCAAACTCAGTAGTTATAGATCTTTAAAACGTTTTAAATGTCTCAAATGAATCCTAAATAATGTCTCTACAATACTGCAATCTCAGTTCAACCACCATACATTGCCGGCCACTCCCTTAATTTAAACAAGATTAATTCAAAACTAGAATTCTCTTTTTACCCAAATGGAGAGAAGGAGTTCATTTTTCTTCTATGTAGACGATGGTATGATAGAATAGATAAAACTGTGATACTTGGTGCTCTTCCATTTAGATCTGCGAATACAGAGAAGGTTAGATATTCTTCATTTTTTTTACGTGACTGATCACGAGTTTTAAATGTATTTAAAGGAATTATTTTACATTGGAAACATTGGAAACATTTCTGTGTTTTATATTTGTGTATTTTATATATGTTCTATGTCTATACGCGTTAACAAAAATATTTTGGATGCATTTTGCAAAAAAATTAGTTTGATCGGAGCATTGTATCAGGTGCAAGCCGTTTTCGGTTTTTTGGCAATATCTTTATTTTTTATGGGGGTCAATTACCTGCGTTAAACAAATTTTCTTTGAGATCCTTGTATCGAGGCTTCATGTTGAATTTCAGCCTTTTTTCTTAATTTTTAGAACTAAATGCAGCCTGTACAGTGTACACTAATTGTCGAATTGTCGCCTGAATTATCCTTAACAAAAACCGAGATTTTTTTCTGAAACTACTTGTGCATCTAATTTTATCAGGCTAGAGCAAAAAATGTATAAAGTGTTGACATCACCCAGTGTTTCACCCTACTGTCTATACATATATATATTCCATTTAGTCCATTTTCAATTTCACATTTCCTAGACAAAGAACTAAACTATACATTATGTTACATGCTTTGCCAGCAATCTTAGGTAGTAAATCTTTGTTCAAATCAAATATATATATAGACTAGGCTTTTATTTGTTTTATCTTTTAATCCTGGCTTTATCTGTGAGCTCTTCTTTGTGTACAGTAAAAAAAAACATTTAAAGAGTTCGCAGATTTCATAATATTTTTTCGCGCATTTTCAAAATTTTACAAAAATGAAAAACTTTTTAAGCACAAATTTTTGAAATTTTGATAATTCATAAACCTTCCCTGGGGTAATGCGATGTGCCACAAAAAAATTTGAGCCCGATCGGTTCAGCCGTTTTGACGTTTATTGGATATAAAACAGGCAAGCAAAGTATATATATATAGATGATAGAGCGGGAACGGATAAGCGGTGTGGTATCTATGAACGAAGATTATGAGCTGGCCCTATTCTCTCATCAGACGGAAGGATGGAAAAAACTTAATGTTCAGTTTCTTCAGCTCTCAACTACAGATATATTTCAGGTTGGGAACTAGTATTTTTTATTCCTTGTTATCTTTATTTCCTTCATTACATCAATAAAAGTTATTTTTTCACTTCTAAAATACTTAACGTTTATGGTGAATGGCATCGACTGGACCTTCTATGTATCTGGAAATTGTTTAGAAGGGCTTTTGAAAAACCGCGATCAGTCACTTACTTATGTATTTCATGTAGGCCTTTATCCCATTCCTTTAAAATTCTATTAAAGGGTCTAACGGCGTGATTTTAATTGAACCTTCAATTATAGAGAGGCATGTCCGATTCACCAGGGTACGCTAATAAGCTTTGCCCGATCTAGAATGAATGAGATATCCATGTTCATCATTTTGACAAACAGATTATTTTTAAGTTCTTCTACTAAAGTGACTTGCGCACTTCTGTGAGAAAACAAAGTAGAAATTAACATAATTATACACTTTTCAAGCTAGAAAAACTACTGTATTTTCCTCGTAATTACCGAAATAAAACTTTCAAGGGTACTGTTGTGAATCTGGCATGCCACTTTTCTAATGGTGGGTCACTTGAAATTACATTTTCACTTTCATTTCATCGTCGTTTTATCTCCTTTTTATTCATCCATTCCTGCCTCCCTTCCCCCCCTCACTTCCCGCTCCTCTCTCTCCCCTGCTTATACTATTGATCCCCCCTCTCTCTCACACAACACTCTCAACCTAGCCCCGCTCTGCACACACCGCAGGTCCCACCGTCCCAGTTCTCTCTACCACGCTGTGTGTACAACACACAATATCTGGGAAACACACACACAAGCACTCCTTCATAAAGGTATTTTATATTTTGTAAACTATCTATTCTTTGCAACAAGCGTATTGCATACTATGGTTGTATCTAATTCAAAAACCATTGCGTCAGTTAGATTCGTGCGTTTTCTTTCTTAATCGATAAGTCATTATATTACGATTCAATACAAAATCAAGATTGTTTTGAGTCCCTATGGGGTATTATACTCTTCTCTTTCCTCCCGTTAATTTAAGTTGTTTCTTTCCTTTTTTTAAATTCTTTGATTTTTGATTTAATTTTTCCAACATTATATGTCCCAATAAGGATTTTTCGCACATATCACATTTTTACTCTTTTCATATTTAATATTAAACCTAATTTACATACATACTTATCTTTCTATCTCTGTTCCCCCATTCCTCTCTTCTCTGCCATCATTCGCCTTTTTTCTCTAAATTTCGCCCCCCCGCATCCCCCCTCTCTCGTTTGTTTCCTCCCTTTCTCTTCTATTTCACCGCCCGTATTCCCTGGGTCCCTAGCTTTCGTTTGATATGCATCAAGCCATAGTTAAAACATTTTCATTTTTGGGGGTCATTTAGGTCTCTCTCTCTCACTCATATCCTTGATTCGTGTAATATCCAAACTGCTAGAACTCCTTCAAATATCCATCCTATATTTTAGTCCAATACCTGCAAGAATGTAAGGCAAGGAAAGTCAATTGCGGTTGTGTATACTCTACGTACATATAGAAACCAGTTCTCTCTGGGCGGAATTTTTAAACAATAATAGATGCATCAGTGTTCGTTTAGTATCCGAGGAGGTTAAAAGCATTAAATTTGACAATTTTGATAATTCACATAATTGTTTCCTATGACCAGAATATTTCATTGATTTTTTTATGTGAATGATGGATCCCATGTCAGGCTTCGACATCCGCCCAGAGACAGTACACTGCAGTACTAAAGATGTGTACACTTCTGAAATGACTTTCCTTGCATTACATCCTTGCATACCTGAATCTTTTTTTACATGTAATATCTCCGTCTCAAATCCATTAATGAAATGATCTGCGTTAATTCAATATTTATTTTGAATAAGAAAAGATACAGTATTTGTGGAATATAAAGGACTTTTTACTAATTTCATGTATTTATCTAACTTTTTAGAAGTACTTTAAATATATTTGAAATCCGTTAGTTTGTTAAAAAAATAGATTTTAAGAGTGAAATGTAATTTTTAATTTCAGAGAAATAATATAATGCTTATTTGAACTGAGCTGTAAGATAGGTACAGTTTTTCTATCGTAAATAAACAAAATTTTAGGGGAATTTTCGAATGCTCACTGCTTAGGACTATTTCATTCTGATGAGAAGTCGTTCTAAAAAGAGATACCGATTCAGCCTAGGCTTATTTTGTAAAAGTTTATTAATTTTCTTTAAAAAATTGCATAAACTTGATTTATGATTGGCCATTTAAAAATGAGGACGATGTAAAACGTACTTTGAAAGTAAAGGGGTTTTTGTAACGTTTTTTGTACAAATACAGAATCGCGAAAAAGTGTTACACCCCCACCCCCCACTTTTAGGACAAATAGTTTATTACGTCACTAGTGGCAAAAGGCACTTTCCCACTTGGATGCTGGAACTTTTTGTGGAATTCGTTGATCTTGAACCCTTCCATCGATACCATTTTGGACACTTCAGAATTCGAGGATCAATTCATGATAATCCAAGTAGAGTTACCCCTGCAGAGGGTATATCCAGCAAGGGATATCTAAGAGGAATTAAATTAATCCGTAGATTTAGATAAGATGGAGATCAATACTTGATCCCGCGATTAACAACACAAAAGTTCTGACTTGCCCGAAACCTAAGAGTATCGTTGAACGAAACTACCGAGTTTCCTTTTTTCTTCAAAGGGGATGGTGGAGTTGGCACATTTGATTTAATTTAATTGTATTTTAT